AGACTGGCCTGAGTCCCTCTTATGGGCTCTAGACTTCCAGTTGGAGTCATAGGAGGCATTGTCATGAGCTCTGAGTTTTCATCTGGATTCATGTGGGACATTGCTGTGGGATTTAGGCCTTGACTAAATATTCTGTGTTTTTGGTGTTGCGGATAGATTTCCTGCATTTTCTTGTGTTAACTCCCAGTGACCATTATAAAAATAATATTATAACTCCATGTCCTGATTCTAGTTGTTCTCTGCACAACCCCTGACTACAACAGGGTCTGAAATGTAGCTCAGTGATACAGCAAGTGTGTAGTATGCTTGAGGCCCTGGGTTCAATCCCCAGCATTGAAAGAAAAAAACCGACCCCCCCCCCCGCCCATTGTGATTATTCTATCTATGCTATACTATTTTGTATGCTGATTTTTTTCACATATATTGCCTTGGATCCTCACCTAGGTTTTGTGACTATGCTAAGGTAGTATTCACTTATGTTGAAACTCACTATGTTGAAAAATAGTACATGACCTGATCTGAAGTTTTGGAGAAAAAGCAAATATCAATATAGCTGTGATGACCATATACACTCAGACAGGAACCTAGGTGCACTTCTAAGGCTCGCTTCTCTGGTGGAGAAAGAAAAATGGCCACACCAACATTATGTAGCTGGTCTCACCCAGAAGGGGACAGCAGTGTGGCCAGCTAGGAGCGAATGGCCTTCGGAGCAGAACCAGTGAGCTCCGAGGCATTGGCTAATTCCTCGTCCTCCACGGCCCTGGCCTCCTTCTGGAGAGTGGACAGCACCCCGCCGGCCTCATGAGGCCACCTTCTCAGGCCTGGGGCCCCTGCACAGCGCTCCGCCCCTCTCAGCATCTGGCTGCCCTCCTCTGCTACCCACCAGGCCAGACGGCCGGCTTGGGGCGGGCTGCCCCTCCGGCTCTTCCAAAGGGCCACCTCCCGGGCGGGCGAGCGAGCGGGAGAGGAGGGCGTTGCGGGGCCCTTTCCTAGTGCTCCACCCGGGTCTTCTAATCATGCTTTTCTCGATACTCTGGTCTTTCTATTTTGACTGCTCCCTGCTTGAGTCCTAGTGGCCGCCGTCCTCCCTTCTTGACGTCGGGTAGAAATCCACGCAAGTTTAAGGAACGCAGAGGAGAAAGAGCGGAGCACTCCCGGGCGCGGAGGATGTGCGGGCGCGGGGCGGGGCCTCCGCCTTGGGGCGTGGTGTGGCGTGGCCTCGCTCTCGGGGCGTGGAGGGGGCGGGCCCGCGGGCCGGGGCGGGGCTTTGGGGCGAGGGCGAGCGGGCTCGACCCAGCTGCTCAGGCGGCGCTCGCTGACTGTCGCCGGCTGCCGGGCTCCCTGGCTTGCCGCCCAAGCTGCCGTTAGGGGGCGCCCGCGCTTGAGGCGCCGCGGCTCTGCTGGGAAGGCGCCGCCCGCGCCGGGCCGCTGGGGCCGCCACTCCGGGCTCGGGTCGGTCGTCTCCTCTGCCGCCGCCGCCGCTGCTGCCACAGGCGCGGGCTCGCGTGTCCCCCGCTCGCGCTTTTGGGCCGCCCGCGTCTCCCGGCCTGGCCGCCGCCGTCGCGCAGTGAGTGGGGCGGGCGCTGGGCTGTGGGCTCGGGAAGGCCGGCAGCGAGAGGCCGCGCGCAGTGGCGGGCGGCGGGGCCGGGGGCCCGCCAGGAGGGTTCGCGCGGCCCGGCGGGCCGGGTTCCGGCCCGCAGCGTCGCCCGCCGTGCCGGTCGGGTTCGAGGCTTCGCTCCCCGGGGCGGCCGCCGAGCGAGGCCCGGCCCGGCCCTGCCCGGCCACGCGGGGTTTGCGCGAAAATGACTCGCGGGTAGGGGCGGCGCGTGAGACGCGGCTTGCCCCGGTTTAAAGCGGCGGCGGGGCTTTCGAGCCCTGCCTCGGAGCCTGGGCTCCGGAGACGCTCGGCGTGCAGCCTAGCTCAGCGTGCTCGGGTCTTCAGCGCTTGCAGCCGAGGGCGCCGCGGGAGTGGGGACCCCCTGCCGCACCTGCTGGGCGCGCGGCGGGGAGGCGGTGTCGGGGGTGGGACAGGGGAATGAAACGTGACCGGTCCCGTGGGTATTCTGCTGAAGTTACCCTGTTTCTGTTCCAGTATAGGAGTTGTAGAACAAGTTGGTAAATCCAGTTTTAGGACTTTGTGATAGAAGTTTGAGTGATAAACAACTGGGGGTGACCCGACTTGGCTGAGAACGTTAGGGTCAGCCCGAGTGAGTACCTGTGTCCTCCATTCTCTCCGCGCCCCCAATTCATTGTTATTTTCGCTGTCACAAATCCCTTGGTACCTGATGGATCCCAAAGTGGGAAAGAAGCTGGGATAGCACAGGCCTGAGCACAAGATCGAGATGTTTTCAAATGAACAGATGGGTTCCTAGGAAAAATATAACAGTGTTTTCGTGAATGGGGTTGGAGGGCGGTGAGAACTTGTTCTTTGATGGAAAACCATGAGTCCATACGAATATAGTGCTTGGTTTATTTTTGTGATGCTTGAGATATGAAGGACTGAGTGGACAGCATAGCCATAGATGCCATTCCTCCTAAGGACTGTGATGAGTTTTCATAAATCATATTTTAATGAAAACGGCTACCTAAAATCCTAGGGCGAAGCCTATCAGTCTCTCAGTGTGTCTTAGATTTTTATATATGGCATCTATTTAAAATAGAATGCACGTTTTTATTTGGAGTTGGCTTTACTTTGGAGATAATCCTGAGTCATGCTTTAGACGAGTGCCTTCTGAGATTGAGCACTCAGATGTCTGTAGACGTAAATGCAGACACTCCCCTGCGCCTGGATCCTCTCTCTGGAAGCTCTGGGGACAGGGAGGACCTGTGGAGACTGAACACAGAGCAGGAGGTCTTCTTTCTCCGTGTGTGCCTTGTCTCTAGGCCTGTGCTCTAAGTTACTTGTGTTCACACTGGTAGGTTTCTCCCTTTACTACAGAAAAATTGTGTTTATGCTACTGGCACAGGTATCTTTCACATTTGTCCATTGCTTGCTTTACATTCACGATCTTAGGTATTGCCTCTCTTTCCCTAGAAAAGAAACTGGCCGTAAAGAGTGATTTACTCGGGGTCTCATAATTAGCTGAGCAGAATTGGAGCACTGGACCTTCCCCTCCTTGCTAGCCAGTTCTCTTTCCTCCAAGCTTTACTGCCTGCAGGGCCTTTACCTTCCTCCTGATCTAGTACCCTATTGGCCAGATTTTACCCTTGTGGTTTTTTTTTTAATGGTGTGATTTCTTTAGGGAATGTGGTTTTGTTCCATTTTTTTCTCATGGAAACTGAGGTAAGAATTTTATGATTTTGTGATTGTGACATCTCTTATATTAAGGTTACTTTTGAACTTACAGCTCTTTTTTTCTGGACCCTGTGTTTGAGAGAAGAGCAGGAGAAAATTACTTAAAAAAGCTCCATTGTGCAGTGGTTTAGTTATGGATAATCCAACATAATCATATTATACTTGTATGCCTGGCCACTTGCACTGGCCTGTATGTGGATGCTAACCTAAAAGACTCCTTTAGATGTCGCTGAACTAGTTACTATAAAAAGTATTTCACTTTCAAACTCCCACGGTTTAAGAACAGAGAAATTCACTACAAAGGCAGTCTTGAAGGTAAGTATAGATGGAGAGAATTTATTGAGCCCTCTTTTCAGAATGCCAGACACAAAGGTTTCAGTAGAAAAGCATTTTAAAGTGCTAGCCAGAAACTCTGGGGCGGCATAGTACAGGTTTTTATGATTATTTTTCCAGGTTTTTATTGCAATGCTTAGGTTGTTACAAAGGAGTGGGACTTTTGCCTTGGGGGGAGAATTAGTATGTAGCACAAATGATAAACCCAGAATATTTGTGTTAAATGAGTTCATTGCCTCCCATAACCTTGTAAATTCAGTTCCTCTGTGGGGAGGAGGTACCTTAGTTAGCTGCTAATGTTACATCTTTAGAATTTATGCATTAGTTACAGTGACCTTTGATGCTTAAAGCATAGGTGAATTCTCAGTGTTGCTTTGTAGTCTTTAGAATAAGATTTTTTGGGGGTGTACTGGGAGTTGAACCCAGGACCTCACGCTTGTCAGGCAGGTGCTTTGCCACTAAGCTATATCTGTGGCCCTGGAATCAGAATTTTATTTGCGTCAAAGTTCAGGTCTTTTCAGGTGAACTGATTTCACTAATTTTCTTTAAACTTTACAATTGTGCTTAGTTGTATTCAAGTCTTTTAAAACAATGTTAAGTAAGAAAAGCCAATTTTTTTTTTTTTTTTGGTTTTTTTGAAACAGTGTCTTGCTATGTAGTCCAAGCTGGTCATGAATGCACTAAGTAGCCCAGGCTAGCCTCAAATTAGTGGCAGCAATCTTCCTGTCTCAGCTTCCTGAATCCTGGAATTACAGGCAAGCCCTCTACTGGTGACTATGCCAGAAGAGAGAGAAAACGAGAAGCAGATGAATCATTTTCTAATTGTTAGCAAATCTGGAAAATGATTTTGTAGAAGAGATTGAAGCTATTCCGGAAATTCTTTTGGTTTATGTTTTCTTTCATTCATCTGCATTGTCTGTGATTCAGAATCAGCTCTTGAATAAGCAGCTCCCCCCTCACCACCCGCCTTATGGTTTCTCACTGTGTCTAAGCATCGCCACAAAGGGTGGAGAGGATGTTTACAAGTCAAGAGCTGAGATAAGACTTCAACTGATTTAATCAATGTTATTCTCCCCCTTAAGCCTTCAATGAATAATTTGATTATTTAGACATTGTTATTAGAAGTGACTCAGTGCTTGCTTCAGTTTATTTTGAAGTATCTTACATACACGTATAAGTATGAAGGCTTTGGGGTGCATTTTTAAAAACATGGTTTGCTTTTGTTTTGTCTTTTTGAGACAGTGTCTTGCTGTGCAGTCCAGGCTGGCCTTAAACTCCCTTTGTAACCCAAGCTGGTTTAGAACTTGCAGCGATCCCCCTGCCTCAGCCTTCCGAGTGCTGGGTTCACAGGTGTGTACTACTACACCTAGCAAGAAATGTGGTTTTGTGTACATTCGCATAATTGCTTTCTTGGATCATTAGGCTTAAAATTTCATTACATCCTTGTAACTGAACTTTGGCTTTTGCTGTGGAATAAGTTCAGGGGAATCATCTAAATTTCTTTTCATGACTGCTCAAGAAGTTATCTTAGGGCCAGGGATTTAGCTCAGTGGCATAAGCATTGTCTGGCAAGCCTCAGATTGTGAGTTTGATCCCTGGTACCAAAAAAAAAAGTTATCTTAGGCGTGGTGATGTATGTCTGTAATTCTAGTACCTTGGGAGCTGAAGCAGAATTGCAAGTTCAAACCCAACTGGAGCAACTTAGTGATTTACCAAAGGCCTTTTTCGAAATAAAAGGGGAGGGGTTAGACATGTATTTCAATGTAAAGGCTGTGGATTCAATATCCAGTGCTGCCAGTAAATAAATAAATAAGGAGTGGACAGACCTTCATAGTAACAGCTGGTTTTGTGTTTGCTTGTTTTGTTTTGTTTTGTTTTGCCATGTATCTGAAGCTGGTTTTGAACTCACTGTGTAGTCCAGGCTGGCCTGGAACTCAGAGCAGTCCTCCTGCCTCTGCCTCCCAAGTGCTGGGATTACAGGTGTGCATCAGTTATTCTGATGTCTGTTTATTTCCTTGTCTTTGGTCTTTCATTTCGCATTTAACTGTTTGGATGTTTGAATATCCATAAATTTGTATTTTTGGTTATTTATGATAGAGCACAGTAGTCGTCACTCCCCCTAATGGGTAGGTTCCTGCAGGCTTACATAACCTCAGGAGAATTTTTACAGGCCTTTATGACTTACTAGCTAGGTTAAGTTACTGTCAAATTGTAAACAAATCGCTATTAGGTGGAATGGATTAAAAGGTAGCCATAATGAATCTAAGGTTAATCCTTTTCATTTTTTTGTTTTCTTAGATTCTGTTCCTCCAGTTTCTACCCTAGGAGAGGAAAGATCTAGACCAGGTGTCAGAAAATGCAGATTCTTGTTCTGTGCCCTCCCAGCTGTGGGACCTGGAAGAAGTCTAACTCTGGGTTCCTCTGTTTTACATATCTGCAGTGGGGACAGTAATCTCTGCTTGTTATATGAGGAATACTGTGGGAGGCGAGGGAAAACTTTCTTTCTTTTTTTTTTTGTCTTTTTCCTTTTTATCGGTACCGGGGATCGAACTCACGACTGCCTGCTTTCAAGGCAGGCGCTTATGCCGCTGAGCTAAATCCCCAGCCCCGGAAAACTTTCAAATCCCTGTTTAAATTGTTTCTGTACTAAGGATCCTTTCTTGGGTTTTACACATTTCCTTTCCATGGAGCTCCTCTATGAAGTCCTCCAGTTTCCTGTTTGGATTTCTTTCCCTCCTGGTGGCCCTGCCTGTCTACTCTTCGGATTCCCTTCTGTATTTACAGTGTTGCACGGTGCCTGGCTTTGTGGATTGGGAGCTCTGTGGGTCAGGGATCACTGTTACCCTGTTTCTGTGCATCAGGGTCACACGCAGGCTCACCTCTTTCCCCTGCCCCTGCCGTCGTTGACCTAAAATAAGTATGGGCTAAATGAGTATTTTCATTGTCAGCAGAGAATGCTTTGGGTGACAGGAAAATGCCACAGATGAACCTCTTACCAGGGCTTTTGGATGACTGGACTTTAAATTGCTCAGTTACTAATGTACTGTTAACAGTAATTGAATCAGATGCTGGTCAGACAAATTGGTAAAACTCATTTCTTGATTCTGTTTACTTTAGATAACGTTTGTGAAGCAAGTCAGAGCAATGACAGCTCTAAATTTGACATTTGTTACATTTCTCCCTCTGTAGTGTGCAGAGACCTCTGTATGCAGCAACTGAGTGTAAAGACTTAAAAAGTGCCCGCACGTCTTGTGCTCCATGTTTTAGCTAGTTTGGTTTAAAGACTTTGCAAGGTGGAGAAATAGATGCTCCAGGCTCTGATTTCAGCCATGCTGTGCTATGCAAATGTTCCCTCTATGCCTGAGTGACCTTTTGAGAAAGAGCCTTTTGTGATCCTCTGTAGCTGGTGCTTGTGCTGAGGATTGTATGCCAGATTCCTCTAAAAGTGGGAAAAGTGGATCTGTTCAAAGACCACATAAAAAGCCGGTGCTTTTCCAAAATGAATGCTGACTGGTCTGTGTTTCTTACTGTCTCTTGCCAGCACTTTTGAAATTTGCTCTCAGTTTGCTTTTCAGGTTGATGTAGGGATGAAGTGTGCGAGGGAACTGACAAGGCAATTCAGGAGCCGGAAAAGTGTTTGTTTAAGTGCTCTTGAATTGTAGATAAAAATAAATCCAAGCTGGCATCATTAGTGTATGGGTGTTTATCAGTGTCCTAAGCTGGGTTTCTGCCTGAGCACTGACTGATTGCTCAAAACCATACCTAGAAAATTCTTTTTGCTCCAAATTGTGCCCTTACAGTTTGTCATTTAGATTGTTTTCTATTTGCTTTGACTGTTGCACAAAGATAAATACCTCATTATTAAAAGTATAATTAGCTTTTAATATTCTGAAATACTACTTTAATGCATTTCTTTTGGAAAATGGTAGTGGTGTCTTGGGAAATTTATGATTTTGAAGGCTTTCACTGAGAGCTCTGAAAGTGCTTATGAAAAGGAGTTTTTCTTTCTGTTCTTCTCTCTTTCATCGTACTTGGGATTGAATCCAGAGCCTTGGCCCTGAGCTGGATCCCCCCCCCCTTTAATTTTGACACAGGGGCTTGGTAAGTCACTAAGATGAGCTCCAACTTGCAGTCCTCCTGTCTCAGCCTTCCAAAGTGCTGGTATTACAGGAGTGTGCCACCATGCCTGGCTTTTGTTCTCTTAAATGACTCCCTTGTTAAAGATTGTCATAAGTTTATGTCAATAACTAGGCCACATGGCCCATACCTGTGGCCCTAGCACTCAGGAGACAGGCAGAAGGGTTGCTGCAAATTCAAGGCTAGCTTGGGCTGTTACATAGTGAGTTCAAGGCCAGCCTAGTGTAAGACCCTATCTCAAAAAAAAAAAGTTTATACCAGTGTAAGACTATAGAGTTAATCTTATCAAACTGGCTTTTCAGAAAAGAGAAACCTTGAGTCACTGGTTTACCTCCTAGGCTCTCTCCTCCTTCTCCAAATGCAGCATGGTTCCCTCTGCGCTCTCAACGCGCTATGGCATTCAGGATAGGGTTTGTGTCTATGGAATGGGACGCTTCCTTCCCGATCTTTGCCCAGCCTGCCCCATAGGAGATTTTAGTTGAATAAACAAAAGTAGTTTTTCCTGCACTTGGGCTGCTCCGTTGCGTGGGAGGCTTTCCTTCTTTCTGTTCCTAGTTACATATGCCATCCTATGTCTGTTTTTCTCCCCCGAAGATTCCCTGGACCTGGGCTCCCCGAGACGCTGCATTGGGACAGATGGATAATGGAGACTGGGGCTGTATGGTGAGTGGGGTACACAGCACGCGTGGAAGGCTGGGGAGTCACTGTGTGTCTGTGCCCTTTACTGAGTCTTAGCTGTAATGTGTCTTAGAAGGGTCAGAGGAAGAAAGCAGCTGCTTTCTTCTGGTGGGATTTTGTTTGTTTATTTGATGTTTTAATGGAAGCAGCCTCAGTACCGACTCTCCAAAGTTTTACAGTTTCTTTGAAAGATGGCCTGATTTTCTCAGCCTTCTAAGTGTGTGACTCTGAAACACTTCCCTTATGGCCTGGTGACGCTGAAGGGTCCCGCTGGTGACGGAATGGAGTGGGGAGGTTTTCTTGTGCTTAGGGAGGTCAATGGTGGCCAAGCTGCCTGTTCCTCCACTTGTACTTTCTGTGTGTGCCTATCTTTCCCTATTTTTCCCTTCTAGTGAGAAATACTTTATTTACTTTCTTTAGTACGTGAAGACTGTCTTTTTATTTTTGGTCAACATTTTCTGAAATCAAAAGTGTATTACTTAGAGAAGCTTGCTTTTCAGAATTAAAGGTCAGATTGCAACACTGAAGTTACAAAAGTGAATACACTTACCAGATTATGAAAGGTTAAAGCTACTGTTAGTCTTTTACTGTGTGATGTGCTTGGCGTAGGGGGTGTTGACTGAACTGTTTTAATTTAGTATTTGAAATTTTTATTTCTATAAAAGAAGTTAATGAGATTATGTCTGTATGGATTTTTATTTTTAAAATAAATTTCATGTTTCTCCTTCATTGAGAGAGAAACTCAAATAATATTAAAAATAGATATCTTTGTATTATCAGCTCATTTTTTATCTTACATTAAATTGAATTAAGGAACCAAAGGTCTTTTTTTTAAAAAATCAGAAAAACCCTTACGTGCATATATTTTAGCGTGGATTTCTCCTTCCCATTATATGTGCTAACTTGAAAACTGTGAATACTCAGCTAAAACTCTGTGGCTCTGGAAGCCATGCCCTGTATTCTTAGATAGATCCTTGAAATAGTATTTATCTTTTGTATTGAAAGTAAGTATTATAGAGCTTTAAGAAATCTCCTGCCTTGCCTGTTATTGCTGCTTTTCTTAGTTTGTCAAAGTTGGGATTTTAAAAATTTCACAACTGATTTTTAAAATTTCAGATGACTGACCCAGTCACGCTGAATGTAGGTGGACACTTGTACACGACGTCTCTGACCACACTGACGCGATACCCAGACTCTATGCTCGGAGCCATGTTTGGCGGGGACTTCCCCACGGCGCGAGACCCGCAGGGCAATTACTTCATTGACCGCGATGGACCTCTTTTCCGATATGTCCTTAACTTCCTAAGAACTTCAGAGCTGACCTTACCCTTGGATTTTAAGGAATTCGATCTGCTGCGGAAGGAAGCAGACTTTTACCAGATTGAGCCCCTGATTCAGTGTCTCAACGACCCCAAGCCTTTGTATCCTATGGATACTTTCGAGGAGGTCGTGGAGCTCTCTAGTACTCGAAAGCTTTCTAAGTACTCCAACCCAGTGGCTGTCATCATAACCCAGCTAACCATCACCACCAAGGTCCACTCCTTACTAGAAGGCATCTCCAATTATTTCACCAAGTGGAACAAGCACATGATGGACACCAGAGACTGCCAGGTGTCCTTTACATTTGGACCTTGTGATTATCACCAGGAGGTCTCCCTCCGGGTCCACCTGATGGAGTACATCACGAAACAGGGCTTCACAATCCGCAACACTCGTGTGCATCACATGAGCGAGCGGGCCAACGAGAACACAGTAGAGCACAACTGGACTTTCTGCAGGCTGGCACGGAAGACGGATGACTGAGGGCTGCCGAGGCCGTGCCGGAGCCCTCTCCCGGCCTGGGAGAGACTGGGCTCTGTGTTCCCATCGTCGTGGGGGCTCTTATTTTTAATATTTGTATTTATTGGAGAGCATTGAGGACAAGAAGGGAGTTTCGTGCTTTAGCAGACTCCTCCATGTCTCGTTCCATGTGCCCCGAGTATGCATGTGCCTGCCAGCCTCCAGATACCTTTTTTATAAAAAGAAGTCTGAAGATCATTATGGTATATAATCTCCCCTTAACAGAGCTTTTCCTTAATTACAGTGCTAAATGATTTCTGAAAAATGGTTCCTAACTTAACTAGTAATACAGGAATGAAGGAATAAGCAGTGTTTGTGATGCCTCTGAGAAAAATCAAAATATCATGTAGGGTGACCTTGTTTCCAAACCAGTAAGCAGTCTTGTAATGTTAAAGGAAAACTGTTCTGATCATTTAAAGGTACTTGTTAAGTACTGCTTTTTACAGTTATGACAACTGTTTCTTTCTATGCATATAAATCAAGCAACCAAATACCTGTAGCCATGGAAATGTCTGACTAGAAATATTTATATTGGATTCTGAATACAAAATACCCCTGTGGTAGAAATCTTACTTCTTATGCCTGGTGCAGTGTAATTCTCAAGTGAACTGTCCACCAGGAAAAAGAAAACCTAATAAAAAATGAAATACGAAAATTAGGCTTGTCGTTATTGGATATTATTACTTAAGGGAGAAAAATCATAAAAGTCTACGTTGTTTATACCCCTTTATATGCTGTCCTTAGCATTTTGTATTTGACCTTCGAGGACTTGGTGGAACCTTGCATTGTAGTTTGTAAGTATTCTGTGGTTTCACTGAAGGAGGGATGGTAACATTTTGTCTAAAAGTTTGTCTAAAAGATTGATGAGTATAATGTTTGAAAATGTTTTCAAATAGGACTTACATTAAAGATCACAGGTTTTCCTTGAATCGTCATAGCTCTGAATGTGACTCACTGTTTCACCTTTGGGCTGAGCACAAGGACAGAACAGCTCAAGCCATTTCATTCTCAGACATTGTGGTGACCCACAGATGTGTGTTTTTGTCAGAGTTAAGTTTATCTCTGAGGAAAAGAAATGAACTGCGGTGGAGGAAGATTCTGGAATAGAGATGGGTGTACTTTTATTTATTTCACTGTCATCTTACTTTACATAGTTCATTTTATTCTGTTTCTGGAATGTTACAGGAAGCATCACGTTAATTACAGTGAGACTTCCTAGTTTAATAGAAATCCTTACATAAAAAGGAAGTCGTAGCTTTCCCCCTGTTTTCTAAGGGAACAGTAATGCTCAGGCTGTGTGCCCTGGGCTGGTAGGTCACACTGTTAACCTTCTCTCTCTGGGAATATTTCAAGGTGCTTTCTGTGAAAGATGAGAACGGTTATTTGTGTCTTCTTCTGCTGATGTCTCTCTGAAAGTTTACTGTGAGATTTGACACGTTGCCCACACAGACATCCATCATCAGCATGTTTGTGCCATCTTTAAACCAAGATCCCTTCCTACTATCAACAGGCTGCCGTGGTTTCAATAAATCAGTGTACATACTAGTACTACATTACCACTGGAGAAAACTGGCTCCTCTTTCGAATTGATGGGTGGTTACCTTAACAAAGTAAAAACCACAAAACACCAGCCAGATAGGTGCAGGTGAACTAGTGGAGATCAATATGCAGTAAAATTATTTGGCTTCAAAACAGTTGTGGAAATAGGAATATTTTTAGTGTTTCCAAGTTGATGGAAGCTGGGAAAGTTTATGAGACTTACAGGTTCTCTTCCTTGTTGCTCTTACAAGTGGTGTTTGTTTTTGATATTCTCAGATATACTAATTATTACCAACTAAAGGATTGTTCTTTTGAGTAAATTAAGAAAAGCAGGCAGAGGTTTTTTTTCTTTGAAGTTTATTTGTCAAGTGACATTTAATTTTCTGTGTTTCATCTAGTTGGGTAATTGGAAATGACATGAGAAATGTGGCTTGATTATATTTAGGTAATTGATACAATTAGAACTTTCAGTGAAAGTTTAGATACTTTTCACTGTGAAGACTTGAATTTTAAAAACACTGATACACAGTTGTGTTCGTGGGCTCTGTTTCATGCAGATCATTGCAAGTGTGGGCGCTTAGAGTGTAGGTCCGCAAAACACAGGTGGGCTGAAGGGAGCAGTGACCAACACGTGGGTACCTCACTGCTGACCCAGTTCAAGAGCTGCTCACACTGTCGTTTTCCTGTTATGCTTTATTTTGAATTAAATCACAGATACTGTTTCACAGATATTCAGCCAGTGTCTGAAAGATGACTCTTGAAATTACATACACATACATAATTTTAAATTTAATTATATAACACCATGGTGCCACTTGGTCCTGGAATAATGTTGATTATTTCATAGCTTGGATCCATGACTTCGTATTAGTGGTTGGATATATTTCTTGTAGGCAGGGTTCTCCTGAAAGAAATACATTATTAAGATGGTATTTGCCTGCCAGGATTAAAGACTCTTACTTTCAAATTAAGCAGTTAGTTTTAAAAAAGTAACATTACATAAGATCTTTAATTTCTCAAATTATTTTTTAAATTCATTTTGTGTGAACATATGGAAAGACATTTTCCCAAAGGGCGTCTTTCCTTTCTCATGCGGATTTTAAATTGTGGATGCAGGTGGCTGATTAAAAAGAAAACATACAGCTTATCTTTGCTTTTGGAATTTTAATACAAATAAAAGGTTTGGCTTTCTAAGGGTCTGTGTGAAATCGAACATGAACCACAGAGCAAGGAACCAGAAAGCGGCATCCAGTCAGCAAGATTGTGTCTCAGAATTGGTTTCTCTGGTTTTGTTTTGTTTTGTTTGAGCTCGGGTCTCACTGTGTAGTGTAGGCTGGCCTTGAACTCACTATGTAGCTCAGACTGGCCTCGGACTCATGGTGATCCTCCTGCCTCAGCTTCCTTGCACACATGGTCTACAACTCTTTTTTTTTTTTTTTTTTTTTCTTTTCCTGTTTTTTTGAGACAAGGTCTCTGTAGTTCAGGCTGGCCTCGAAGTCACAGCACCTCTCTTTTCAGGCTCCCGAAAGCTGGGGTCACAGGCCTGTGCTATCACACCTGGCAACATGGCCTTCAACTCATTTCCTACTGTGTCTTTAATACCTAAAACAGTTTCTGTCAGCATAGTGTGTGCTCAATCTGTACTTACTGAGTGGCTCGAATGAAGGCATCTGTGGATGTGTTTAACACATGTGTTACTTGGGGGAATATTTATAGTTATATGTTGGGAGCAATGGGATTCTTGATTTGAAATGACCACTCCTGGTTCTTGCACTGGGAACGTCAAGATGGAATTGCCTAGGGATGAGTTTGTGTAGGGACGGGAGATGTCTTTTGCAGTTTTCTCTGGAGACGCTTGCTCAACTTAATATCCAGATCAGGTGGAAATGCAAGGCAGACACTGGCCAGAGTCAGCCGAGAAAGGGCACATGTTCCTGTCCAGGGGTAAAGCCAGGGAGACGCGATGCTGCATTTACTTCAGCACAGCACTGACTGGTAGGGAACCAGTAAGTATTCCCACTGGCTCTTCTCTGTCTACAAGGCCTAATTCTCCATAGCTGCTGTTTTAATTTATTTAAAATACGTATAATGTGCCTTTTTGTGCTGTGCAAATGAAAAATATCTCTTTACTGGATCTTCAGAATTAGCTCTAGTAGATTAGAAAAGAACATGTTAGAAGTTTCAGTGGTCTCCGAAGGCGTCACAAATGTGTATGTGATTATGCAGCCACAATGAACACTCCACCAAGCATCTTTGCCACTCACTGGAAACAAGGTAATTTACCACCTTACCTTACTAACTAGCTGTGTGTGAAATGGCCATGGTGCACCTGTCACCTTTCTAGCAAGGTAACGAGGCTGGATGACAAGCATTTGTCTGCAGCATTTGTGTGTAGTGGGTCCCTTGGTGTCACTGTGTGGGTCATAAGACTGTTCCTTTGTTCCATATCCTGACAGTGGGACAGGGAAGCCTCCATCTGGGTTTATAGTCAAATGAGAGGAGAAGACAGAGAAAAATGAATGGGATAAAGTTTTACCAAATCCCTGCAGCTATGGGTCATGCCTCACTGAGATAAGCCTGCTCTTAGAGATCCTGATTAAAGTCTTTAAAAGTGAAGATGAAAAACTAGAGAATCTGCATTCTTCAGTGACCACAAGATCCAGGGACCTGAAATGTTTCCGAGGTGGCCAGTAAAACAGGTCTGAGCTGTGCAGGTCAGCATTTCCTGACAGGTGTGTGGTGGGCTGGCTCTGTGGAGCACCAAAGGTCACACAGATCCTGGGTACCGGGCTGCACTGGGAAGGCCACGATATTTTAAGGCCAGCATTTAAACTTAAAAAGGACAGAGATCTCATTATTAGAAAAAGTGACAACTAGAAATAGGCTAGTTGCTGGGCATGGTAATGCACACCTATCATTCATCCCAGCACTCAGGAGGCTGAGGCAGAAGATCACTGTGAGTTGGAGGCCAGCTTGGGCTATGTAGTGAGTTCAAAGCCAGCTGTCACCAAAAAAAAAAAAAAAAAAAAAAAAAAAGCCAAACCAAAACAAAAAACAGGCTAGTAAATAGATAAGTAGTAAATGTACGCTTTGTTGGTTTGTTTTCTGAGATAGGGTCTCATGTGTATTTCAGACTGGCCTTGAGCTTGTGTGGATTCTCCTGCCTCAGCCTCTTGAGTGCTGGGATTACAGGTGTGTGCAACCTCCTGGTGCTAAATGTATGCCTTCTTTATTGCTTGTATTTCCTTGCTGAGTTGAAAGGATGTATTCCTGAAGGTAGGGTGGACCGAAGTGGGCTCGCCTTCCATCTGCCAACCACCCTGAGGATGACTGGTTCTGTTATAATTTTAGATATTCAAGTTAAATTAAGCCATGAGGTATCACAGAATACAAATTGTTAAAGCAAGTCTGACAGCGTGCTAGGTGTGAAGGAAAGCCTGAGAGCTGCCAATAGGATGCAGTACTAAGACACCTTTTCTGAAATTAGATCGGAGAAATAGGAAAGTCAGTTTCACCTTTCATTATAAAATACCTAGATCTGCAAAAAAAAAAGAAAAGAAAAAGGTCTTTTGTGCCCTTTGTTTTGATCATCTATTCCAAATCTGCTATCAAATGCTGGCTCCCCAAATTCTAAATACAAGATTTATTTCTTGAGTTACGTATCTACTGGCATTCCTAACTCTTCCTGCTAAAGCTGGGTGGAGCCTGGGCCTGGCCTGCAGGGCTGGGGTTTTATGAGCCTCCCCTCTCTTCTTGCTGTTCTGACAGAGATTCCTAGTGTTCTCCTCAGGCAGCTGCAATCACCTCTCTGCAGCCCTGGCTGCTGCTGTGCACGGCTCTCTTGACTACCAGAGGTGACATGGCAGCCCTCCTTCCTCCTGGGAGCTTGGGGACAAAGGAGTCCGGTCTGAGCAGGAGCCTTGGAGCTTCCTGACACCTCACCCCAATTCTGTCACAAAAAACTGGGTTAGAGGCCGAGAGGAAGGGGTGCAGCCAGCCTTGACTTACCTTCTTGGTTTTCGTCATTTGGGAGTCAGCTTGCCGCTAAGTGTACATTCTCTGGGGTTTATCAAGCCTTGATTTAGAGCCGGCTTTCTTTTTAATTTCCTTTACCAACTCTGAGCAGTGCATTTGCTGAGTCTAGTTCCTGCCAGGCCACGCCCCACTCCTGGTTTCTTTTACACAGTCTCTAAAAGTGCTTTCCACAGATACCTATGCCAAATGATTTTCAACCTAATGGAAATCAATCAGGCTGAGGAAACACAGAGGTGTATTTAATGCCTGTTTTCTGTTCTCTTATATAATTTGTAACGTGTTATGCTCACTTACCTGAGAATTATTGTTTGGTGACATCTGAGCCCACTGGAACAAGCGTTCATACACGTTCCCATCATAACAGCCAAGCGCAGAGTTTAAGCACTGATCGGTGAAGTCAAAAGCGTCGGTTAACAAGACAGCATCCTTCCTGAAAGGAGACAGGGTTCACATCCAGGCTGTCTCTCTGAAGGCATTGTGAACACCGACCGTAAGAGGCATCATCAGTCACTTCTCAAATAATTCAGCTTAATTTCTAATCAGATGCATAGATTTAAATCATAAATACATATTGCATTTCCTTAGGGCTTACTAGTTGAAAAACAGCACAGCCCAGATTCTCTCTCGTTTCCTTCTGACCGGAGGCAGTTTCGTCTTTCCCCTGATACTGTCCGAATGTCTGTAAATGTCTTGTTTGTGTAACTGACAGCTCCCTGATGCTTCAGAGGCACTTTCTACTTAGTGTCTCTTAGCTGCTGTCTGTTGGCTCTGTTACAAAAGACAAGGTTTTCCTTTCAGCATCCTCTCTTCACTTCTGCCTCTCCTGACCCCGTGCTTCCTCTCTTGGTTCCTTATCTTCTAATATAAATTGTAATTTTGGCTCGATCAAAATACAGCCTTGTGGGCTGTGGTGGTGCATGCCTGTAATCTCAGCACGTGGGAGGCTGAGGCAGGAGGATGACTGAGAATTCAAGGCCAGCCTGGCTACCCTAAACTACAGAGCAAGGCTGTGTCTCAGAAAAAAAATGCAGTGCTAACGTTAGGATGATGGTACATTGTCAAAGCATTGTGGCGGCTGAGATACTGTCCCTGACTGACCCTTTCTCGATGCCTCCTCCTCATTATGATAAGCCCTGTCACCTGTTTAAGGTCCCTCCGTCCACCATGGTCTCACTTCTCTAGTTCCATGGTGCGTTGTATTCACTTCTCAAAAATACATTTAGCCATTTCTCTTGCTTTTCGTAGCACTTTAGCAAGGTGGAAATCCAAGTTTCCACTGCCTCTGCGTCACTAGTTACATATGCCTGGGAAAACCAGTCTCCTCTGATGGCCTTAGAGTCCAGTGCGTCCTGCCGCTGCTCCACGATCATGGGTTTTTATTATTGTTGTTCGGTTTTTGTTCTGTTTTGTTTTGGGGACAGCCTCACTGGCCTTGAGTTCGCTATGTAGCCGGGGCTGCCTTGACCTGGTGCCGACCCGGCTGCCTCAGCCCCCCAAGTGCTGGGCGTACGGGCATCGCCAGCAGCCCCGCTGCAACCGTCTTCCATTGCTTTAGTTCACTCACTCTATCTCTCTCTCAGGGGATGGCTTCTTCTGTTCCCTGTCATCCCCAGCTCTGCCCTGTGTACCTCATCTCTTGTACCCTTTCTCACTGATAAAGTAGAAGCAATGAGGGACTTTTCACATGGTCCCCTCCTGTGTCATTTAGCTGCTTACCGACCTCCTGTACTTGGATTCCTAATAGGTTTTCTAAACAAAACACCTTCAAAACCAAACCATCAGTCTCTTCTGCCCACCTGGCCCTAACCCAGCCCCCCTGGTCTCCCCCATTTATAGTCAGTAGCCTCGCTTCCTCTTTCTGTAGCTCCATGTGTCTAATCTGTCAGTGAATCCTGTTGTACTCTCCAAGCGTGTCCAGCCTTGCCTGCGTCTCCTCATCTCCTGGGCTCCCACTCAGACTGTGGCTGTCGCTTCCCAGCTGATCTCCGTGCTGGGCTCTTGTTTTCTCAATTAGTTTTAGAGTTGAGGATTGAAACCAGGGCCTCGAACATACTAAATAAATGACCTGCCCTTGTGTTACACCACCAGCCTTTTTTATGCCTAACATGACAGTTGAAGCCATTCCTTAACAACCTACAACCGATTCTTTGTGTGTGACTGTGCTGTGCTTACACAAAGTGAAAGCCCGGGTCCTAAGACTGGGCAGCGGGGCTGACCCTCTCTCCCCTTCACGCGCACCCTGGCCCCTGGCCTCCGCCCTCCTCCGTCTGGGTCATCGTCCCCAGCGGATGCCTGTGCCACGTACCCTCTGGCCGACACCTGTACCTGCGCCCTGCCGGTGCCCCCCCATGTCCCCTTCCTGCCACCCTCAGGTCCCTTTGCAGATGCCCTTCCTCCCGCAGGCCGCGCTGGACCTGCTCCCCCCAACCCGCAGCAGCCCACCCTCCTGTGTGGCCCTCACGCCCCGCTCCGTCCTCCCTGCACGAAGCACCCCTCCCTTGCATGGAATCGATTTGCCTCCTTGTGCATGGCTGCATGTTTCGCGTGTGCACATATGTAGGCCTGGCTTTCCTTCTCCGTGAGTACTGCAGCCTTTTTAAATCTGAAACTCATATCTTTCATCTGGGATGTTTTCTTCAGTGATTAGTGATTTGCCCCCTCTGTTTTCTTTTCTAGACTTGTTTTTCAGATGATGAACAGGTAGGGTAGGTCCTCTCACTTTCTAAAAATCTTTTTTGTCTTTTTGCTTTTTTTTTTTTTTAATAAGTTTTCTCCGGTTTATCATTCAATCCTTAAGTTGAATTTTAAAGATTTTCTCTCTCTCTTTTTTTAATTTCGAAGAGCTTTTTCCCCCCTATGATTATTTTAAAACAATGACATTCTGGTTCTTAATTTGTGTAGGTGTTTGGTTTGGAGTTTTTTTTGAGAGAGGAGGCTCTTGCTATGTACTTCAGACTGCTCTTGATTTATGTAGTCTAGGTTGGCCTCGAATTCCCAATGATCCTCCTGCTTCAGCCTCTCAAATTTGTGTTTGTAATATATCTTAACGCCCAGCTTTGTGTTTGAAGTATATCTTCTTAATTACTTTTTTTTTAAAGTTTCTTTCTCACTGCCTATTCTTATGTTTTCAAGTTGCCTTGTCCTTGTTTGCTGTGATTTCTATCTCTTGTGTTTGGGGCTTCCCTCAGGCATCTGGGGATTCCAGAGTGTCTGATCATAGCTAAGCATTAGTCTGTGAGGTGAGTCTCAGTCTTTAATTCCTTTTCCTCAGTCTGGTCCGATTCTCTACAGGAGCGTCACTGTGTTGTCTTCCTATAGGACATGAGCCTGGTTGCCACTTTTTTGTTTTGGTACCGGGTATTGAACTCATGATCTTGTGCTTGCCATGCAGGCGTTTACACCCCAGAGCTAAATCCCCAGCCCCTGGCTGCCCCTTCTGAGGGTCTAGTACAGAACAGTGCTCAGAGGCGGGAGGATTAGTAAGTGGCCTGTGAGGCTGCCAGTGTTCTGAGGGAGGCCTAGTTCTTAGTTATACGGACAGGGTTTATGTTCCCTGGTCCACAGACGCTCTGTTTACCCTTCCATGATCAGAGCAGGGTTGAGAAAAGTTTAATGGGGATTCAGCTTCTTTGGAGTTGGACTTTCAACCTAACCTGTCAGCTCACCTTTGTCCCCAGTGCCAGAAGAGGTACACAGTGCTGCTGGCTCCTGGGGCGCAGGGGGCTCCTGGCTGGACCTGTATTCCAAGCCCCAGAGTGTCCAGGAAGGAACAAAACTACACACCTATGTTTAACCTGCGTCTTTACTTACAGGCACCCAGCTGAGACCGCAGGACCACTTCACAGCTTGTTAACACCACAGAGAGCTGGTCCTTGGTGTCAGAGTCCTGCCCTGCATTTGTCATCCCAGAAGTCTGAAGGAAATGATGACAGTCAAGGCTGGGGTCTGTGTTAAAAGCATGAGACCTGCCACACACCTAATGACCTGCAGGAGCAAGGTCACTTAGAAATCATAACGTAAGTCAATCAATCTGTGGGTCTGAAGCGTGTGTAGTGCAGAGCTCAGTGCTGTCTTGTCCTGAATTCTCTGAGTCCCTAGAGCCAAGGCAGACACTTAAAAGGGCTGTTTACAGATTTAAGAAAACCCCATGCTTATGAGGTGTAAAGGTGGTTTTCAGTATCTTATTACCATTGCCAACCAGGGCTAGAATGCTTTTGTGTTCACATGCTTTAAAAATAGCAAGTTTCAGAAAGTTAGATAGGCTTAGGCTGGTATTGTTGAGTACTTCCCTATGTTCTAATGACTTCCCCTGTTGTGGTGTCTGTAGTAGGGAAAGTTTAAAACTACTTTTTTTTTTTTTTTTGGTACCAGCAATCGAACTCATGACCTCACACTTGCCAAGCAGGCGCTTGCACCACTGAGCTAAATCTCCAGCCCAGGGAAAGTTTAACACTGGGGCACGATTGTGTCAGATACATTTTAACTCTTTTTCATGGTTTAATTGAACAAATATTCACTAGCCACCAACTGTTTGCTTATATGTGGTCATAAATGGCATCTAATATACAGTTAGATATATTAGTAATTTGGTCTATGTGTCACAAAAATCTTGTTTACAAAAATTTCAATTTTTTTCTTTTTATTCTCCTAGTATTGCTGATAGAAAATCAGCTCCATCACTCCACCTCCACCATTTGGAGAAGACATATTTTCAGCCCACTGAGGTCGTAAAAGGGTTGTGTTCTCAAGTTAACCTGTTCTTAAAAATCTTATTGATAATGGTAACTGATTTGTATTGTTTTAATTTTTGTTACTCCTAATATCATGGGCTTTGGTTTTGATATGCTTTTAAAGCAGTATTTAAATTATGTATAAAGTAACAGGATGAAAACATTGCGTTAGTATTTCATGGCTCTAAACTATACTGTGTTAAGGCCACATTTTAAAAGTATTTGTATTGCTACTTTACAAGTCAGTATATGAATTATTGAGTTAAAAAATTATCTTGAAACTAAGGGAATATTAAAGTAAGTCTACTAAACTCGGTAAGAATTTCTGTAGTTCATTCAAACAGACAGAGATATGCATAAAATAAATAATACTTCAACCTTAATATGCAGGTAAAGCACAGTTCTCAAGCTGGGCATGAGGTTGGATCTGGCTTCTCCTCTAGGCAGTTGTGCAATTCTGAGCAAGTTAATTCTCATAATTCCCATCAACACCCATCATTCATAGGTAGCAAGTTTCATGTTATTCACATGCTTTGGGTGCTGTCCTCTTTTGGGACAGTGTTGAAGAACTAACTGAATTGAGGTTATGTTTATCCTTATGTGTACCGGGGTCTAGGATTGTTCTCTGAAGGCTCACGTGGTCTGAAGACCCAGCCACTCACCGGATCAGGGAGAGCAGGTCCAGGTAGGCTGTTCTTACCATGTCGACTTGGGGGCCAGACAGAAAGCCATCATAAAGAAAGATGCCTGAGTCAGCCAAGATACCATGTAAGGCGAAGAGGTCACAGAGGCGTTTGAGCACTAGCTGAATCGCTGGCTCACTGTCTAGTTTCTTCACGGCGTCCTGAAAACTCTTCACAGTGACATAGTAGCAGTGAGCCTACAAACACACAAAGGTGCATGAGCCACTGATTTCTTTCTCTTTTTTCTTTTCTTTAAGAGGAAAAAACAGAATAATCAAGAACAATCAAAGAACTACAACAAAATGACATAACAACAAACAATAGTGATACAAGATTTTAAAACAAGATGATAGGAATTTAACAGTGGCTGCTGTATTGCATATTATTACCTTCAAAATAGTTGCTCAGGTGACCAGATACAGGCATGCAAAATTGATCAAACAGTATAATTTCCATTTGAGCAGTTTCTTCCCCTTTTACTATATCTATTATAACTTTTGGATCCTATTTACTCTTTCATTCTTACACTAGGGAGACAGTATGATGTTTACATGTGCAAGTCTGATTTATTTCACTTATGAGTATGGTTTCTAGTTTCATCCATTTACCTATAAAATGCTTGAGTTTATCATGCTTTTTGGTTGAGAGTACTCAGTTGTATAAAAATACCACATCTTTTTTTTATCCATTCCTCAGTTGATGGACGCTTAGGTTGCTTCCAGGATCTGGCTATTACAAACTGTGCTGCTATAAACATGGGTGCACATATATCACTGTAGTATGATGTTTTCAATTCTTTGGGGAAAATATCCAGAAGGGGACTAGCTGGATCAAATGGGACCTCTAGTACTAGTTTTTTGAGGAATCTTCACATTGATTTCCACAGTGCTTGCACCAGTCTACACTCCCACCAGCAGTGGAGAAGGGTTTCTTTTCCCCACATCCCTGGCAGCATTTGTTATTGGTTAATTTCTTGATTTTAAATGCTACCTCAGTGCTGATTTAACTTACATTTATTGAATGACCATTGATGCTGAGCATTTTTCATATATTTATTTGACATTTGTGTTTCTTATCTGAGAATTGTATATTTTATTTCTTCATCTGAGAACTGTGTTTTTGAATAAGGTCTTTAAGTTTGGGGAACCTGATTTTCTTCAATTCTTTATACATTCTACATAAAATGTCTGAGGGATAGTTGGCAAACATTTCTTACCAATCTGTGGGTTTTCTTTTCACTCTACTGGGGATTACTTTGGGTGTGCAAAAACTTTTTAATAAAATGAGATTCCAGTGGTTGATTCTTTGAGGCACTTCTCATGTAGTTTGTGTTTTGTTCGTGAACTCTTTGCCTATCCGTATGTCCTTGAGATTTCTACCTACTTTGTCTTCCAGTAGGTTTAGTGTATGTTTTAATATCTAGATCTTTGATCTGTTTTGACTTTAGTGCATGGTAATAGACATAGGAATCAACCAAATAAAAGAAGTAAAAGATTTACACATGGAAAATAACAGTACTCTGAGAAAAGAAACTGAATAGGAATTCAGAAAATGGAAAGATATCTCATGGATAGAAAAATCTAACATTGCAAAAATGGTTATTCTCTCAAAACTGTTATACAGATTCAATGCAATCTCAGTCAAAATACTGTTAGTATACCTCACAGAACTAGACAAAACATTCTTAACATTCATCTGGAATCATAAGAGACCTAGAATAGCAAAGGCAATCCTGGGCAACAAAGGCAAGGCACGAGGCATCACAATCCCAGACCTGAAATGATACTACAAAGCTGCTATAATAAAATCAGCATGGTACTGGCAAAACAAAACAAAACCAAAAACAGAACACCAGACCTGAGGATCAATGGAACAGATTAGAAAATGCAGACACAACTACAAACACACTCAGCCACCTTATCTTTGACAAAGGGGCCAAACATGTTCACTGAAAGAAAGACAGCCACTTTAAGAAATGGTGCTGGAAAAATTGGCTTCATGTAGGGGGCTGGTGGGTTCGGGACTTGGCTTTGGTTTCCTCTGGGGAAGTTTCAAGTAGGTTTGAAAGTGGAGAGAAAATACACAAGGGACACAGAGCGAAGTGCCACTTTTCTAAAAAATACAGCTATTTATTGTCTGCCTGGTCAAAGCAGTGGTGCACACACATGCATGTGTGCGCATGAATGTGGGGTTAAAGTGTAGTGGTTCAAGTGTATATAAAATTTGTCAAGGTGAGATAAATTCCTGGACGTACTCAGTGGTGTTATTTAGCCCAGAGACAATGGTCTGGCTCTGTCTGTTGTTAAGATAGTAATTCAGTACTGGTCGTAAGTGACCACATCATTAACCTAGTGACAGACTGCTCTGACAGATGGGCTCCTTCCCCAAGGCCTCCTTCTCCCTTCAGCCCAGCAACTAAAGGATGAATGCCTGAGTCAGCAGGAGCCTTCAGGATTCTGCTGTTCTTGCACTGCAGGCTGTTATATATTTTTGAGTATTTGCCTTCTGTGTAACACAAATGCACCTGCTTGTTTTACCAGGTAAGATATTTGAGTTCCAGTAAGGAGAGAAAAGGGAGAGAGAGACAGACAGACAGACAGAGAGACACAGACAGAGACAGAGACAGAGAGATAGAGAGGCTTTTCAGCTAGGCATGTGAGACATGCCTGTAATTCTATAGGAGGCTGAGGCAGGAGGATTGGCTAGCCCGGGCTGCAGAATCAGCTTAAGACCAGCCTGAATTAGAGTGAGACCCTGTCTCAAAAGGAAAAAAATAAGTATTTCTCAATTTTTTATGTGCATACAGATCCCCCAGAGAAAGTAGTTCCTCTGAGAAGCTTGCGCTGCTGGGACCGATGTTACTAGAAGGTGTAGAGCAGAGGTGAACCTCAGCCGCCTGCCTGCCGAGGCAGGCTGTCCAAATCTTGGAGAGCTCTGAAAGATTCGCTTTCACTGGTGTCTAGAGTGACTCGGGGCTCAAAGGAGCTCATGCGGGGACTCAAAAGATGCAGGAAAGGTCATCTGAGGTGGGCTGTAAGGCTGTACTTCAGGCAGCTGAAGGCATTTTTTTTTTTTTTTTTTTGTCTTTTTCTTTTTTATCAGTACCGGGGATCGAACTCATGACTGCCTGTTTGCAAGGCAGGCGCTTATGCCGCTGAGCTAAACCTCCAGCCCAAGCTGAAGGCATTATTATGAGGCCCAAGCCTTGGGTGTGAGGAGGTGATGGGTGTCCGAGGAGCTTTTGTCCCCTCTGCAGGAGGGCCCAAGTCCAGGTCCAGGAAGCCCTGTGAAGGGTCTGGTCAGGGTTTCAGTCTGTGCAGGGCATCAGTGACCGCAGCCTTCCCCAGGGTGGTAGAGGCTCAAGTTTCTTATTTGGAGAGAGCCTGCTTTCCCCAGAGAGGCCTTACACAGCTGCCAGCGACCCCACTTTGCCAGTGTACCCGTGTGAGGCCTCATGGTTGGGCTGGTCTGAAAGCTCCAGAGATAGAAGATGAGCATGCGTATGGTGCTGGCCCTGCTGGCCCAAGTAGCCTTTGGTGCTCAAACTGGGTCCAGGTCAGCAAAACTAAGGACCTAGCTTTTGTCCTGGAGCCCTGCTTTGTCTGCTCTAACCTGCAGGCCACACCTGTGGGCTGTCAAGTCTCTGGGCTGAGAAGTAGAATAAGGCAGGGCCACCCGGGGGCACTGGCTGGCTTTTGCTCAGAAAGCTTGGTGGGGGAGCGCAGGTGGCCTCCGTGCCTTGGGGGGAAAGGGTGTGTCTTTATTGCTAACTGCCTCTGAAGTATTACCCAGTCAACTCAGTCTTTGTGAGCAGGTGCTATTAGGTCCATTTTTCAGATGAAGAGACTTAGGCTCTGGGATGCTAAGTTCTTTGTCCAAGGTCACATGGCAGAAAGTGGATGAAACAAGATCCAAGCCAGGGCTGCACTCTTAGCTGCCTCCAGTGCTACAGAAGCCAGGGGGACTGAGGTGGACTACGCCAAGCCCCAGCATCCAGAGAGTGACGCCTCTCCTGCAAGGGACCGAGCTTAGAGGCCGGCATTCGCTCGGAGCCCTTTGCTCGAGGTCCTACTGCGTGACACCCACAAGCTGAGGCCACAACCCAGCCCCTGGCTTTTCTTCCCTCGCCGCCATGCCAGTGTGGCCCCTTGGATCCCTGCATGATTATTCCTTGCCTGCACTGATAGCTTTCAGAAAGACAAGGCCTTGCCCTCTGTGAGCTGGGAAGCTGCTCACGCCATGCTCTTGCGAAACACTAGGGTGCCCTGGACTTAGCTTCTTACCCTTGTGGCCCGGAGCTTGAGGCTCATCTTGGCCGCTCATCACACTGAGGCTGCTGGAGCATACAGCTTGCCTCTGAGGCACAGGGAAGGGAGGCTTCGTCCCTTCTTGGGTGCCCTGTCCTCCCCCTTTGAAGGAGGATTCTGCTAGTCTCCCTGGTCAGGGCGTGTGGACTAAATGAAGGCAAGCAGAGGTCTGGAAACAGGAAAAGGAAGAGTGGGTAAGGGGGGTCCTTGGCATACCCTGTATGTGGATGGGGCATGAGCATGGCAGGGGTGGGTGCCCTACCCAGGACCACTGAAGCCCAGCTGCAGAGGTGGGGCACAGCCCCAGCGGGTGTAGTGGAGGGCTGGGTCGTCAGGTGGCACCTCTGCCCGGCTGGCCTGACCAGTCCCACCCTAGGAGGTCCCCTGCAGACCTTTTAGGGCTCTCCTGTCTGAGGCTGTCATTTTCCAGGCCTGAGGCCTGAGAGTTACAGTGATCCTCCCAGCTTTTCCAATTGTTGGCAGGGCCACTGTCCCAGCTCCCTAAGCTCCACAGGCTTTTCCCTCTGTGGTACTGGGCTTGAACCCAGGGCTTTAGTACTCAGCTACCTCCCCAGCCCATTTTTAAGTTTCTAGACAGTGTTTCACTAAATTGCTCAGGCTGGGTCTAAACATGTGATCGCTCCATTCTCACCTCTCCCCCTCTCCACGATGCTCACTGGGGAAGTCACTGTCCACACCTAGCTATCCTTTCTTCTACCCCTCAGTATCTCTGCCCCTACCCACTTTTCCCCACGCTCTCTGTGCAGCTCAGAGTGGGTACCACCCTGAGTCCTGGACAGAATGTTACCCCTTCCTTCTGACTGGCTGCCAGCCTCCAGTCCACTCCTCCCTGGGGCCACAGGATCCTTCTAGAATGAAATGCTGATCATGTTCACCCTGCTAACATAAATCTGGCAAAGGCTTCCCACTGCAACGAAAACCAGAACCCAGCTTCTCGCAAAGGTGCAGGAGGTTCTAGACCTTGTCTGTCTTCTCCCTCTGCCCGCCCTGCTTTTCCTTGCATCCATTTTCCCTTCAGCACTCACGTGGCAGGACTGGAGTTGCCTCCCAAGTACCAGACCTTTCCTTGCTTCTTCCTTTTGTACCTTTTGGAAACCTTTCTCTCCAAAGCTGTCACCCCACCCTTCTGCAAGCTGATTTCAAGCATCTTATTCTTTGAGGCACTTCTGGGAAGTCAGCAGAGATGCATCTGCTCCTGGGTCCCACGGCTGCCCCTGTTTCCCTGTCCTGGGCCTTCCTTGATTGTAGCTAGGTGTGGACAGTGACTTCCCCAGTGAACATCCAACCCAATGCCCAAATATTTGCCGACTGACTGTCGATTATGCACAAACACAAAACATGGTGAAAATTGAATCAGACATCCAAGAATTGCTTCCAGGGCTAAGGGGAGACATGACCTGCTTTTCTATCTGCGAGGAAATGTTTGAACAACCTGAAGCAAATCCAATAACACTGCCTCATTACCTTTTCCCCTAAGAGCTGCCAGCAAGATTGCCTTGGAGTTAAGTCCTTTAATTAAAATACCTTGGACTAAAGCCTTGGATGTGAAATGAGGGCAGGCTGCGGAACAGGGCTGGGGATGCCTGCTGCAACACAGGGCCATGCCCCTGCCCCTCAGTGGCGACAGCTCACCTTGGCAGCCTGGACAAGGCTAACACTTGTCTGGTTCCAGGCATCCTGCTGGTCAGCCCCGGACTGCGTGAGCACCTGCAGGTGACGTGCTGAGTCCTCTACGAGCCTGAGAGCCAAAGAGAAAAGATTCAAAATTGATGGATGATTTCTGTGTTGATTGCTCAAGTGGGGTCAACCTAAATGCTTGATGAACCGCACCTCTTCAAGGGCAGGCAGCCCCAATTTACACCGGGGAAAACTGAGTCCCTAAGAGGTGGACTCACTTACCCAGAGTCCACGGCGAGTAAGGAAGGAGCCAGAATTTGAATCTGTTGCTTACCACCATGTTCTAAAGCCCTAGGCCACAAGCTGACCCTTTTCTAAGGCAGTTCCATCCCGATAACCAGTGTTTCCTGGCCTGAGCGAGAATGGTTATTTAATTACAGGCACCCAGCCTGCTACAAGCTCTACTTCAGGCGCCTAACTCTTGACCTCCAAAGCACTAAGTGAGTTGTTTGTCCTGCAATTGTTAACCTTTAATCTCCTGTATTTTCTTTTTCCTGCCTGTCCATCCATGACTCTTGGAATTTGTGTGTAAAACAAACTGTTTATTAAGCAATATTTATTTTGCCCTTTCAGGAAAGAGATAAACAGATGCCACACTGAGTTTGAAGCAAGGACAGAAAATGGCATTTTAATTTCCCAGCAGTCTTATTTGCCTTCCTCACCTGCTCCGACTGAAGCATCAGCTCTGGGGGGTTTATCAGACTGATTCCTGGTGGATCCCTACCTCTTAGGACAGTGCCTAGCATACTGTAAGCATGTAACTAAAGTGTCCTCAAGTTGCTGGGAATCTCTAAATAACTACTAGCCATCCCTTTGGCCACGCATTGGGATATAAGACCTCTTATTGTATGGTGAAAATATTTTTTTCTCCTAGTTTGTTTTTGATGTTTTAAGTTTGGGGCAAAGTTCAGCAGGCTCCTTTTTAGGTAGTTTAACCTGTTTTCTACAATGGTGTCCAAATGGGCTAGGGCTTCTTTTCATTCCTAGCTTCTAGCATATTTGATCGGTCATGTTTACTCACAGAGTAGGTACCTGACATTATTTGTAAAGTGAAAAAATGTATGAGTCCTGGGGTTTGCCTTGTTCCCTGAGCCTAGCAGACCCTGGAAATAACTTCTATTCTGTCAGATAGCCAGTGTCTGTTTTTTGAGACAGGGTCTCACTATGCAGTTCAGGCTGGCCTTGAACTCATTTTGTAGCACTAGCTGGCCTTGAACTCACAGCGATTCTCCTGCCTCAGCCTTCCAAGTGCTGGGATACAGGTGTGCATCACTGTGCCTGGTTTATAGCCACTGTTTTGAAAACTGTTTTTAGATATTCAGGTGTTTCAAACTCACAGGTATTGGTTTACTTCCTAGTATTTGTTTGCTATTGATACATTTGTAGTAAGCTATACTATGGGCATATTTATTGTATGGCAAATTACCATAGGAAGCTAATGATTTGAAAACTTTCCTTCACTGGCCAGAGATGTGGTACCCCTGTACCACTGTGATCAAGATACAGGAATAGTGGTTGTCAATGGCTGATGCCTGGGATGTCCCCTTCTCTCTACCCAGGGCAGGAGGAGCTGATGCCCCATGACAGGGAGTGGATTTTAGAAGTGTATGGATCAATTTCCACCCGAACAATCCCACAGGTCTGGGTGTGAGGGGCACTGGCTCACCTGGCCGCTGTGTGTGCCCAGGCTGTGGTATAGATCTCTGGGAGGAGGAAGTCAGAGGCATTCTGGGCTGGGCACTTGTCATGGTGAACCATGGTGAAATACTGGACAGACTGAGGCAGAGACCTCTGGGAGTGAGCACCTTCAGTCTCCCAAATCTGCTGGTAGTTCTTCATCAGAAACCTGAGGGTGGGAACAATGAGATGGGGCTAGCCCAGCCCTCACCCCCAGGGAGCCTCCCCCATTCCCAGAGGACACGCCCCCCTTCCTGCCAGCCTCCTCTCTTGCTCTGAAGCCTTTTGGGCTGTCCTGCCGAGGCGCCCCTAGACTCCAGGGCTGTGAGCTGGGCAGACACCCTTACACAAGTGAACAATGGGCATACAAGAGGGAGGTAAAGGAGGACTCTGCTGCCCCCTCACAGTGCTGCCTAGAGGCTGTGTGTCTGGGAGGCAGCACTCTGCTGAGAGCCATGTGATGCCCTGGGACTGGCGTCTCCTCCATCTCTAGATGGGGGATCGGACTCACCCCAAGTGAAACTGAAGGAGAGTATCGGGGAGTGCTTGCCACGGTGGTAGGCAGTATGTGTCATGCTACTGTATTCCTTTTGCACGTTTTTAAAAAACCCATCACTGCTATTATTCCATTAGCCAGTAAACTCCTTTCCTCCCGCATACAGAAAGACTGGCTCTGACCACTCACTTGGGAAGGTGAGTATAGAAGGTTCCCGTGGCCTCAGAGGAGGCTGCAAGGACACTGGAAGAGGCGAGCTGGCTGTTCCCTTCCTCTCAAGTGTGGGCTCCCCCACCCTTTTTGGTGGTCCTGGAAGTTGAAGCCAGCTTTCTCACTGAGCTACATCCCCAGCTCCTTTTATCTTTTTGAGACTACATCACTCAGGCATCCAGGTTGGGCTTGAACTTGTGATCCTCCTGCCTCAGCCTCCCAGCGTGCTGGGATTACAGGCATCTGCCACTCTGCCTGGTTTGAAGCCTTCTGTGCAGGTTCTGTTCTGAGCCTCAGGTCTCGGGCTGAGCAGGGCAGGCATACTCCGTCCTCAACTGGTACAGTTGGGAGCAGAGCTAATAATGCGAACCCCAACACTCCACCAAGGATAACAGTCGCATAGGCTTTGATGAGGAGGGCAGGATTTTTCCTGTGAGTGCTGGGAGGCCAGTGCACACTTTAATCAACAGAAAGATGTGATTCCTCTAGGTTTTGAAAGATTCCTCTGCTGCCCATGGAGAAGTGGGGCAGTGGAGGAGCAGGAGACCAAACAGGAAGGGTGACGTGTGTGTGAAACCTTAGCACCGGGAGGCTGAGGTGGGGACATTGCTGCAGGTTCAAGGGCATCTTGAGCTACAGTGAGTTCTAGGCCAGCCTGAGCTACATAGTGAGACCCTGTTCAAACAAGGCGAAACAAAACAACCCAGAAGAAAAAAGAGAAGAAGGAGGAGGAGAAAAAAAGAACCGGGACACCAAGTAGGAGGCTGATGCTGCTGTCCAGGCTGTCCACCTCCCAGCGGTGGCCTGGCTGGGAACAGCAGTGGATGGGAAGTGTGGTGAGCTAGGGACATACCCTGGGCCTCGGCCCCCAATCAGCGCTCCCCAGGCCTGCTCCTTCCATGGTATCAGACAGATGCCCCAATAGAGCAGAAGCTTAGGGGGTCTTCAAGGGTCTAAGGGGACACCTGGGCCACTCCAGGCCTTACCTGGCTACCTGCAGGTAGAGCACTGTATTCTCGCCCTCGTAGGTGCAAGAGGCCACCACCTGGGTGGCCAGGGATGGCAGGCCGCTCAGCTTGGAGTAGCCATGTCCACCGCAGGCCCTGCGGCAAAGCTCTACTCCATATGCGCAGAAGTCTGTCATCATGGCCTTGGAACCCGTGGTCAATACGTGGAGCTGTAAGGACAGGAGGGGTCAAGCAGTGCTGGACTCCGTGGTTCAGTGCACTTACGGCTGACCAAGTGCTCATGGCCTGCTGAGCCCTGCTCTGGAAGGTCGGGGTTACTCAGCTAACATTTTATGAGTAAGAAGACTGAGGCTCTGAGAGGCTCCCGCAGGGTGCTGGGCACAGAAAAAAGAACAAAGGACAATGTCTCCACGACCTTCCCCAAAGAGTGTGGCCTGGACGGGCGCTGTACCCTGGCAGTTATGTAGTCTGGCACCTGATCCGGAAAGCTGCTCCATGAGCATAGTACCCCCATCAGCTGGCCCATTGCGTGGATTTGGGGAAGGTGCCCACCCAAGATTCATGTCTGAGCTCTTCACCTGTAAAGTGGCACTATCAGGGCCGGGGACTCTTGGAGGAAGGGGAGCAGGTCAGAGCATGAGATCTTCACAAGTGGGAGGGTGGGTGCTATGCTCACAGCTCGGGCTGCAACATGACTGCGTTGTAATTTGTCATTGTTAGGAGGTGGGACCTTAGGGCCCTTGTGAGTGGATGAATGCTGTGATTGGGGGTTGGGGAGGGACTTTGATACAGAAGTAGACCCCTCCTAGTGCTTTTTCATGTGACCTTTCACATGAGACCTTCCTGTGACCTTCCTGCGATACAAGGAAGCCCTTACCAGAACCCTGGAGGAATCTGGGAAGTCTCTACAACAGTGAGAAATGAATTTTGGGTTGTTTTGTTTTGTTTTGTAAAATATGGAATGCTTCATGAATTTGCATGTCATCCTTGCGCAGGGGCCATGCTAATCTTCTCTGTATCATTCCAGTTTAGTATATGTGCTGCCAAAAGCGATCACTTGGGTTGTTTTTTAAGACAGGGTTTCACTGTGTAGCCCAGGCTGGCTTTGAACTCACAGTGATCCTCCTGCCTCAGCTTTCTGAGCGCTGAAATTACAGGGGCATCCACCAGGCCCAGCCTGTTTATAGGCCACCTAGTTAATGCATAGTAGCTGAACAGACTAAGACAGAGGTTTCCAGGAAGCACCTGGCTTGGGTTTTTGGGTCTTGGAAGCCCCTACCCATTTTTCCAATTTTTGAGTCCTTGGGAAACAAAAAAAGAACATGATGGAGTGGTGGTCAGTGGCAAAAAGCAGCAGGCTAGAAAGAAGTCCACTGAGTTGGACTCAGGCTGGGAACAAAGGCCCAGCTGGGGTTGCTCTCTGGTCATCGTACGCTTGACCCCTTGCCCTGCTCCCAGCATCCATGCAGATCCGAGGTCTTGGGTGCTCTGGGGTGGGCGACAGCTTACAGGCTGTAAAGTGAGGAGGAGAAAACCGAGACCTGTGGGCTCAAAACTGTGGGTCCCTGGGTGTGGGGGCGCAGGTGGGTAATCTTAGCACTCAGGAAGCTGAGACAGGAGGATCACTGTGAATTTGAGGCCAGCCTGAGCTACAAAGTGAATTAATTCAAGGCCAGCCTGAATTGCACAGCAAAACTTTGTCTCAAAAATACTACAAAACAAAACAAACAACCCTCCCAAATCATCAAGAAAGCACTAGAAGGAAAGTATTCATGTGAAACTACAGAGAATTTTTTTCTGTTTTTAGATTAATTTTCTGTTTTTCCTTTCTTCTTACTCCTTTCTTTTAATTTTTTTCTATTTTTTATTGTCCATATTATTTTTTCTTTTATCTTCTATTTCTTATTGGTCTTTTTCTGTTACCTTTATCTTTTTCTGTAAATCTTTTTACTATAATGGGATCCTCTGTCTCACTCTCTCCTCCTTTTCACCTCCTATTGCTTAATTTTTCAAATTTTTACACTCTTCCATTCCCAATTCCTTATATTTTTGATAATATAACAGTAAACTTTATTAATCATTAGTGGAGGCATAGTTATCACATTTAGTAGATATCTGCTGAATGTCAATATTTGGTTTGTTGTAAGATTTATGCCACAGGTTAAGGGACGTTGGTATATTTTTTATTTTTTTATTATTATTTTTAGTTTAGTTTTGAGACAGGGTCTGGCTGTGTAGTTCAGGCTGGCCTTTAACTTGAACTCACTGTGTAGCCCAGGCTAGCCTCAAATTTGTGGTGAGCCTCCTGCCTCAGCCTCCTGAGTGCTGGGATTACAGGCCTGTGCCACCATGCCCAGCCATTTCTGATTCTTACGATATGTCAATATTCAGGGTTTTTTTTTTTTTTTTTTTTCTGTACTAAGGATGGAACTCTCAACCTCGTGCTTACCAGTGCTTGAGCCCGTAAGCTAACTCCCCGCCCATCGGTTTGTTTGGTGTTACTGTCTGTTACTGTCAAGTAACACTGTCTGGTGTTATTGATACCCAAGGTGGAATAATTGTTGCTCTTTACGCCAAGGCCCAGATTACCTCTGTATCATTAACAGTTCTGTGGTCCACTCCTGCGGAACCAGGTGCCAAGTCAATTACACTGCACCCTGACTCGTACTGATAGAGCTAATGGGGTCTTGGGAGGCAAAGACCTATAGCTAGCCACGCCTTTTGTGGGTCCCCAAAAAGCAGAGTAAAGACATCTCCACACTAGCATCAATGTCTTTCCACCATAAGTGCCATAAACCAAGGCACAAAACAAAAAACAACAGAAACACGAGAAGACCAGGCAACAAAGTGCCCCCCGAAACGCCTAACTCCCACAGAGCCCATCCATGGGGCACTGAGGAGGAAGAAAGCAAAAGCCTCCCTGAGTTATTTTACAGGATAACAACGATTAAAACTCAGGTCAATGAGGCGCTCTGCTGGCTCACAAAAATATATGATTAATCAGCTAACGGAAGAGGTGGTGGAAGGTCTTTCTTTCCCGTCCCCTTTTTGTGCCTCAGTATGCTCATCTGTAAAATGGAGATATAAGTGGTATCTACTGTAAGCAATGCTTATGAAGTACAGTACCTGGACAGAGGTCTCAGTGTGGAAGTAAGTCCACTGCACTTTATCCAAGGCCTGTGGGCCAGATGTGTTTTGGAATCAGAATGGATTTTGGATTTTAAAAAGGCAAAGCAGGGCATTTAAGGCCTGTCTATCATCCACCTATCATCTATCTATCTATCTATCATCCATTTCATACCCCCAGTGGGCTCTGAGCGGCTTAGGGAACATACTACCATTTTGGCTGCATTTGTGCTCAGCAGAATAGCTCAGGGCAGCTCAGGCCAGGTTACACTAAGCTGCTAAGTGAGCCCCAGGGGAGTTTTGGTTTCCAGAGCTTTGGGGGTCTCAAATACACTTCAAGGAGTGTGGGTCTGTGTTCTCTATACTGTAGGAAATATCTCCTCTATCATCACTGGGTCTCCCATGTCAGGGTACGGCTCACCAGCACCCCAGGAACTCAGCCAGAACGGGGACAGAAGGCCCCAGGGGTGGAGCCGTCCCAGCCCCTGTGGCAGCTGCTCCTTGGCAGACGGGGGCTACCTCGGGCAGGAGGCTGGTGTCATTGCTCTGAACAGCGTTGTAGGCGTGCTGGAAGAACTCCAGGAGGCTGACGGCCTGGAAATGAAAGGCGTAACTCATGGCCAGTGGAAAAAGGAGTTTCTGCTGCTGAGTCTGGTAGTCCAGGATTTTTGCCTCTGGGTCACTAAGAGGAAGAGAAGCAGAGGATTTGGAAGCTTTTGAAATGTCTTGTCCACCTCTGCCCATCCCCAGCACCATAAAACCTGAGTGCTGGAAGCTCCTTATCACATTACGAAGGTGGCAGGATTGTAATATCGACCCTCGAGGCGTTATCTACCGTGAACATCTGCACGGTTCCGGCAGGTACTGCCTCTTATGGGGAGGATTACAGACTGCAGTACGACCACCGTATTATCCTAAAATCTGAGCAGTTCTGAAGTCTAACATACCCAGCCCCCAGGATCAAGTGAGGGGTGTGGCCCTGCACCCCTGATGATCCGAGCTGCCCACGCCCACTTGCTGTGTGCTAGGAAGCATGCCACACCTACACCTGAAGACCCCAGGGAGGGGATGCTGTGTGCCATGTCCACTGCCTAGCACCGTGTCCAGCATGTGGAAGCTGTGCATGGAAAGGTGTGGCTGTGGGAAGCCTCCTGGCAGTGATGGGAACAGGGCCTCTCTGGGGCAGCCGCTCCTCGCCCCTCATGCATCCCCTGTGACCATTCTGGGGATGGCTCTGCAATCCTGGCAATGGGGTGCAGGTAGCAGCAGCGCCTTCTTCCCAGTGTCCTGTCCTCCGGGAGAGATACCCTTAGCCAGAAACTGACAGATACAGGCTGCTGATGTTCAAGGGAGCCAGAAAGCCGCCCCCCCACTCACGTGGCCGGGCAGGCCTGGATCTGCTGCTGCTTTCCAGTACCCGGTTCTGGCACCGTTAGAGAGGTGTGAGGGCAGCGGGCCCCAGGGGGCTGAGCCTTTGCTATGTTCTCTGTGATGGCCTCTGGCTGCCCCTTACCTAGGTCGCAGCCGGCCCTGGCGACGGATGACAGAGTAGCGTGTGGCGATGACGCAGGCCTTCTGTAGGGAGGGCAGGACTACCGACGTCAGAATGTCCACACGGGTCACCACCATGGGCAGGTAGTTGCTCTGTGCTGTCCCACATCTGATGTAGGTGCCATCCGGTAAGACCTATGGGAAACAAGGGCAGGTTCTGGTTGGGGCTGGAGCCGAAGTCCCCATCCCGGAGTCCCCAGCTGTGGCTGCTTATTCCGTGTGCCTCCTGGTCATCCGGAGCAGTTGCAGGTGTGGCCACAGCAGCAGTAACACATGAAACACTTCCTTGCTGCTGCTACCTTGCCACGTCCCAGTGTCCTGGTTTACCCTCATCTCCCCCACGATCTATAGTGAAAGAGGGAGCCCAGCACAGTCTCGGCCTCAATATCTGCCCGCACACCGGTTGCCATCTTTCTGAGTGCTCTGAGTGGCTCTCCCAGGCCCCTCTGCTCTCCCATCACAGAAAGGTTTGAGGCTCAGGGAGGCAAAGTGCCTCTCCCAAGACCACACTGCTCTGCAGCTGGGCGTCTGCTCTGGTCTGTGGGACACCAGAGCCTCTCTGGGAGTTGTAGTCCAAACTCAGGTATAGGGTAGAGGACCAGAAGTGGTGGCGCCCTGGGCAAAGTGTCCATCCCCTGTCCAGTCCTTGGACCTGTGCAAAGCGGCTTAGCATGTTCTCTCTAGGAACTCGCACGTGGTCCAGCTGCAGGAAGCCATTGTCTGCATTTTCCAGGCCCATCCTGGGTCCGATGTCCCCAGCAGTGATTCCTAGGACATGGAGACGAGAATGTCTGTCAGTTGAGTGCCTGCTATATGCCTGTCACCACACACACATTCGGGTTCCCAGGAGTCTCTGGCCTTGGGGTCACTGTCTCCGTGCTGCAGGTGAGCAAGAGAAGGTCAGAAGGTGCTAAATCTTATTCAGGGTCCCCTGCCAGTTAGCACTAGTCTATCCAACTGGACCCTTTGTGGCCTCATGAAGATGTGTCTGCACTTCTCCCATGGGCCTCTGGGTCTCGGAACCTTGTCCCAGAGCAGGTCTCTAAGAGAGAAGCATGGGTTACCTGGCAGCGGGGTGTGGTCCTGGGGGCTCCGGATGGGCACCACGAAGGCATGCATGCCCCTCTTGGCTCCTGAGCAGATCAGCTGGGCCATGACAATGGCATGGGTGGCCAAGCATCCCACTGAGGGCAGGCAGAGAAGCATGTCACAGAAGGACCAGTGCACTGCTGTCCCCAACCCAGACTCTGAGACTGGAGCTTCCTGATGGGCAACTGAGTTCTCAAAAAGTCACTGGTAGCAGAGAGGAAGACTTGACCCCAAATGACCAGATGCAATGAACAGTGATTTGGCAAAGGAACTGTGAAATGAGCAAGGTTTTAGGGAATTTTGCCCCCTACCAAAACTATTCATCAGTCTTTATCACTAACCTTAGAAAAATGAATATAGACAATAAAATTTGTTAAAAATCCAGGTGGTCCCCATCCTTGTATTGGTATTTTCTAGTTCTCCAAGTCAGGTTTGTAGGGATCATTTTCCAGATACAGAAACTGAGGCTCAGAAAGCAGAGTGACATGCTGGTCCCTTGTGCAGAGGAGGTGGAGCTGGGATTTGAGCCCTGGTCTGACTGATCTTAAGCTGCAGATTAAGATCTCCACAATTTTGACTATGTCTATCTGTCTGTCTCTCTGTCGCTCACCTCTTTGACCCCCTTCTTCTGTTTTTATTAGGCTCCTTGCATTTGCTGTGCTTTCCACTCTGGAATTCACTGACTAGCCCCCAGGTGCCCCAGACTGGACTGAGAAGGGGTTTTCAAGCTCACAGGCGGGGGCTTGGTGACTCCCTTCTTGTAGCCTGGCAGTCACTGAGCCTCAGGGATTCGGGGTGTGACTGCCACCTGGTGGCCATCTGGTGAGAGCCAGGCAGGGCCAGGGGCCAGGGAGGCACTATGGCCTGTTGCAGGCAGGCTTGATCATTAACCTGCGGTGGCGGCGAAATAAATAAGAACCCTTGGGCTTATAGGGACACCTGAAACCAGGCCAAGTTTGTGTGCCTGTGTGGCATACGCACATGTGTGTGTATATATGGGGAAGAGATGCTCAAAATTGGGTCAATTCTTATATCTACTTCCTTGGGGACTCCCAGCCACTCACCAATAAAATTTTTGATTTCTTACCCATTTCAGGGAAGTGAACAGCTATGCCCAGGGTTTTCAGCAGAGAACTGCAAGTCACCCTGAGGTCTGCTGACAGGTCAGAGCCAGGGCTGCTCGGCCTGCACTGTCTGCTCTTTGGAAGGACAGGGAAGGGGCCTGGGAAGATACTCACGGTCTCCAGGCCACCACTTTGTGGCAGTTATTGTGGGGCTGTGTATCACAAACTCCTGGGTGGCTGCGTCATAGGTGGCTTCAGTCTCCAGGCCCTGAAGGTATGACCCTTGGGATCAAGGAGGGCAGTCAGCACTTGGCCAAGGTGGGGTGCTTACAGAGCAGGAGCTTCCCGGTGGGCCTGGCCTCTGAGGGTTCAGCCCAGTATAGAGCGAGGGTCAGTGCTTTGCTGTACACATGTGGGTCTTTGTCCTTTCATCTGTTAGTTTGTGGGGTGTGCACACATGCGTGCAAGGAGTAATTTGCCCCACGGGTAGCTGATACAGTATATCTGTGCAGATTAGAAAAAGGTGCCCCTTCCTCAAGAATTGAATGTTTTCACATTAAATGTACAAATCTATGAGACCTCTGGAGCTGTGCAGTGCACAACCTAAACACCGTGTGTGGCAGCTCTGGCTCACCATGTCCCATTTCTGTCTGTGCGTATGTTGCGATGATCTGGTATGTTTTGCAGAGGGGGACCCATTTTGCAATCTGCTCTTCTGAGCCCAGGCTGATGATGGCTTTCGTGGCAACAGTATGCACCCCAAGAATTATATCTCCAGAAAGGGCCCTATGGGAGAGAGATGCTGTGCATGAGTGCCTATGGAGATGAGGCCCAGGTATCCTGGGCCTGCCGGTGTGCAGGAGGGAAGGGCCATTGGTACCCGGGCCTCCCTCCCGTGAGGACCGTGAGAGGGGACAGAGCTCTAAAGGGGAGCCCAGGTAGGCTGCTCTTTAGTGGGGCAGCCCTGGGGAGCACCTCCTTGCGTAATCAATCTCAAGCCCATCCTCTGGCCAGTTCAGGCGCTGGGCCATCTTGTGCAAGAGGAATCTTTTCTGAGCGGCAGCCTGGAAATGCTCTTTCTGCGTCATGAAGTAAGTGTTGACAAGACTGAATGCTGGGTCACTGCGGAAGAGGCTCTCTGCAGGGGATAGAGAACAGAGGCCCTAGGGATCAGGCCAGCGCATACTTTCACAGCTTCCTGCCCGTCTGCCCCACAGCAGGAAAGTCATTTTACAGATGAGACAGCTGAGGCCCCAGGTGGGAACTGTGACCTGTCCTGGGTGACAGAGCTCTGTGCAGCAGAATTCGGGCCAGCATCTGGCTCTGCTGCAGATTGAGACGGATTCAGGGAACAGTGCACGCTAATGGCACAGTCATAGCCAAGGAAGTTAATCACTTAACAGTGGAGTTTCAAGGGCAAGAGTGCCAGTAAAGTTCTCTTCTAAGACAGGCATGTGGGAGCCAGGCATGGTGCTGCAAGTCTGAGTTCCTCATGGCGGGAGAGCTGAGGCGGGGGAATCCCAACTTGTAGCCCACTCAGGGCAACTTAACGACTTAGCAATATCTCATCACAAAATACAAAACAAAAATAGGGCTGAGGATGCCACTGAGTTCAATACTCAGAACTGAAAAAAGAAAGAAATTAAGGAAGAAAGGAAGATAGTGTGGGGTCAAAGCAGATGTGCATTCTCACCTACTTCCCGGCGCAGCGTGGTGTTCCGGGCACCCCTGTCCAGGAGGTTGGTAAGTCGCTCCACATCGAAGGCCTGCCGACGCCTCTCGCTTTCTATGTCAGGGTGCACTCGCTGGCTCCAGGAGTCTCCCAGGGACACTCGGTGTGCCCGGCTGCTCATGGTTCCCTGGTGTCCCAGGACAGGCCTGCTGCCCGGCTGCTGTGCGCGCTGCTCGGGTAGAACGGGTTGTGCTAGCAGCGCCCCGCTGGGCTTCTGTACGCTCGCTCCGCCCTCTCCTGCCCTCCCCTGCCCTTCCCTCCCCTGCGCCACCCTTCTCGCCCCTATCCCTCCCCTCCCCCCTCTTCCCTGCCCTCCCCTGTCCCTCGCCCTCTTCCTCTCCTCCCTCTGGCGCTGAGCCAGCTCTGTTGCCAGCCCTTGCCTACTGAGTGTGAGCTACAGAGTGGACTTTTATGGGGTCTCACCACAACACTCGAGCTGGGGTCTCTGCACTTCGCTACCAACGTCTTCCGGGGAAGCCTCCACGGAAAGTCGGTCGAGGACACCCGCGGAGAAAACTACCTTCGGTTAAGTAAACAGCCCGGAGCCAGGCAGCTGGGGGTGCCCGAGGCTGGAAGCGGCCTGAGCAAAGGCACAGCTCTGGCCAAGCTGTGCCCCCCTGCGGGCTGGCGGTTCCAGTTCCCTGCTCCCGCTTCCTGGGCTTTTGTGCCGCGTTTCTGGGAGCTCTGAAGCGCACCGTGGAGCCGAAGGGAGGACGCCTGCTCTCTGCGATACCCTGGGTCCCCTGGGGTCCGATCTCCTTTACGGCCGGCCTTCGGCCTCTCGGAAGCTCACCTTCCTCTGCCTCCAACCCCGGCCACCTCGCCCCCGCCTCAGCTATGCCCTCCTGCAGCCCTGCGCCCAGCCTGAGTGACTCTTGCTCTGGGGCGAGGTCGGCCAGCGCCAGTCACATGGCTTCCTTCTCTGCTGGGAGCTGACTGTGGCCCCACCCGCCGCACACTCTTGCCCCTTTCCGCCCATCTGGCCTCCTCCTGCAGCCCTTTGCCCCTGTTGCTCCATTTGACCAAGGTTCGCGGTTTGATGACCCTAGTAGCCAAGCTCACAGGGACCCCAGCTCTCCAGGAGCCCTCCTGACAGAGGCACCCTGCCCCTTCCCTTTTGGGCAGTGATTAATTTTGGGGACAAGATCCCACACGTCCCTTCCCCAAAGCAGCAAGCGCCCGGAGGTGGCGCCACGTGAGCGTGGGTCCCTGGAGCTGTGCTGGAGATGGGAGCGCGGTGGGGGCGCATGGGGACGCCACCCTGCTGTCCCCTTTCTTCCTCCCCCTAACCCTAGGGTGTACTATCTGCTGCCTGCCTGCCGGTCTCTGTAGCTCTCTTCCCTCTTCTTCTCCCCTCCTCTCCCTTCCCCTCTCCCCCTCTATACTTACTCTTTTTCTGTTTATCTTGACCTTGAATATCCACAGATTCTTTTTTCATTAGTGCGTGTTTGTGGTGCAGCGTCTACATTCCCCGTGGGGAGGTGATGTCCTTAGCGCCTCTGAATTCCTTTTTTTCTCCCTTATTTCCCACCCTCACCTCTCAGTCCCGTTTCCCTTTAAGGAAGATCCATCCACATGCTTCCTGTGGTCTTTTATTTATTGCTCTTCATTTATTCTTTAGATTTCTCCTATGAGAGAAACCAAGGTATATTTAAGTGGGGTGTCTGATGTATGGCCCCAGGGTACACTCATTTTTCTACAAGACTCAGGTTTATCTTTTTTTATGGCAGAGACATTCTCCTTTGTATGTAAATACCTCTTTCTTTCTCCATTCATCTGTTGAGAGACACTGGGCCACCTCTAAGATGTAGGTGTTGGGAACTGCCCTTCTATAAACGTGGGTGTGCATGTAACATTGTAGCTGAGGTGTTTAACTCTTTGGGGAAGATTCTTAGAAGGCAGAATAGCTGGGTCAAATGGGATTTGTAGCTTCAGCTTTTTTGAGGAGTCTTCTTAGTGATTCCCACTAGCAATATGTGAGCTTCTTTTCCCCTACAGTCTCAGCAGTGTGTTATTATTTGATTTCTTGATGATAACTGAAAGGATTTTGGCCCAGACAGGTCACTGTAGCTGGTAAAGCCTCAGGTGGAACCAAGGAGCTCCATCTTCCCCCACCCCTAGAAATTTGCCCCTGGTGCCAACAAGTGCCAATGGGCTACCTGTGCATCACTAATGCCCCCTCAGGCTCCACCCCAAACCTAAGCTACATATATGCCTTCACTCCAAGTGTCCCACAGAGAGATCCCACAGAGATCGACGACCCTGGGGGAGGGGAGGGAGATGCCGCACCCCAGGGGCTGGGGGGTGTGTGTCTCTCCTCGCATTCTTAAAATAAAGATCATTCTTATCTTTTCAGCCACCGCTGCCCCACAGTTCTATCAATAACCATTCTTTCTGGGGTAAGATGGACTCTCAGTGTTGTTTTAATGTGCATTTCTCTAAAGGTCAGCAAAAGCATTTCTTCACATATTTATTGCACATTTGTACATCTTCTCTGGAGTGTCTTCATTTTGCACGCCCATTTTTGCTTGGGTTTTTTATTCTGGGGAGTCTAATCCCTTGGAGTTCTTTATGTATTCCAGATATGAGCCTTTTGACTGATGTATAGCTAGCAAAAATTTTTCTCTAATTCTATGGTTGTCTTTTCCCTCTGTTGGTTGTTTTTCTTGCTGTGCAGCTTTTAACGTGACCACACAAGACCTTATGATTTAGAAACCTTTGGAACTGGCTTATGGGAGGAATTTGAAAAAGTCAGGGCATGCAGGCTGGGGAAGCCTGAGACTGCTGGGAGCAGAGCCCTGTGAATCCTTCTGGAGAGAGATCAGAGGACTAGAAGGCTGATAGGAACTTTCTCCTCGTCTGTTTGTTTTGGTTTTGAAACAGGGTCTTGCTTTGTACCCAGGCTGGCTTCAAACTCACAGCAGTCCTCTTTTCTCTGCCTCCTGAGTGCTGGGATTACAGACATGCACCACCACACCCAGCTAGGAATGTTGATAGGAAAGATCAGGTTCAAAAGATTTCACTTGGGAGCGAGGACTCTATTGGGCGCTGGATTTGAGGCCATGTGTGTTAGACTCTGGCAGAAAAGTTTGTTTACATTTTACCTGGGACTTGAGACTGCAGGAGACTGAAATTAAAGGCTATAGACAAATTGATCTGGTGAAGGAAATTTCAGTCATCTGGGCTGTGGCATATGTTGGCTAAGTTTACAGTGAGAATCAGGGGCAAAATCCAGGGCAGAAAATGTTAAAGTATATTGTGGCTCAGAAGAAACCATGTGTAAAATTGGGGCCGAAGGAGGTGTGGCTGCTGAAGAGATTAGTGCCATTAAGAAGGAACCAAGTACTTAGTACAGGGACAAGAAGAAATATACCTTGAAGGCTTCTCGCAAATCAAAAAGACCCTACTCATTGATAGGATTATTTCCAAAAGATGAAAAGTATAAAACAAAAAGCGGCCTTTATTCTGAGAACACGGAGAGAGATGACCGGTGAAAGAGTTGCCGGCCCGGCATCCCCCACCGCTGGCGTCCCCTCTGGCGGAACACGTGGAGTGAGGCACATAAGTAGCCTCGGTTTGAGGTGGAACCTAAGGGGAGAATTAGGGATGCGCAGGTAGCCCATTGGTCCTAGGTTTGACGCCATAGGTAAATTTCCAGGGGCGGGGGAGATAGGAGCTTCCTGCTTCAGGTTGAGGCTTTCCTGGCTACAGTGTCCTGTCTGGGCCAAAACCCTTTCACTCATCACAGGCTCAAATTACAAAGGCGTCAACCTTTCTTTTGCAACGTGTCCTAGAGACCCCTGCCCCAGAAAGAATCCCTTTGGTATTGGTTCCCTGGATTAATTTCACTGTGCTCAGCCATCTGAGCACTTACTGACTGCTGCATCCGTGACTCAGGGAGGACTTGTTACGCTGGCCTGTGTTGGTGGTAGATCTTGGCATTGTTCATGTGGTGCTGGTTTCACCAGCTTGCAAAATGCAAGAGTTGTGGGATGCGGGAAGCTTTCACCCAGATTTCAAAGGAAAGTCTGAGACGCCAGGCAAGGAACCCCTGAGAGGACAGTCCATGAAGTCATGATGAAGCCAGACGCAATGCAGAGCAGAGCTACAGGAGATCATGCTGTCAGGAGCATTTTCCGAGGAAAGCTGCAGGCAGGGAGCACAGACAGTCAAAGAGAGGTCATGTGGGTCACAACAAGGAAGAACGTGGGCCAAGTCCTTTGGGACTCATATTTCAGTGCTGTGTGTCCCAGATGACAGGTGTGGAGCTACAGGACTTACTGTTTGCCTTGCTTGGTTTTGGTTTTGCATTGGTTCAATTCTTTTCTGTCCTCTTAGTTTTCTCTTTGGAATTATGTAATTTGTTTTTTATTTTTACAGAGATTCACAGCTAATGTTTCTCCTCTCAGGAGATATTTCTGATCTTTTGATGAGTACTGGAACTATTGAGACTTTGGGAAAAGGATTATTTGATTTTCAGTTATACAGGATAGTGGTAGCATGTCAGGCAGAACCATGAGCTTGTGTTTATTTGGGGATGAACTACAGTTTAAGAAAATACGTTCGAGTGTCAAGTTTACCAGAGTAGGATGTGATGGTCAAACTTGATTGGATCAATGTAATTGGCTTGGGAGCTGCCCACGAACAAACTGATGGGTATGTTTGGCTGGGTCATGGTGGCATGATCTTGGGTACTGTACCTGGTCCTTCACTTATTTCTTTCTGATTGCCTTGAAGTCAGCTGACTATGTGATCAAACCCTGTGACACCACTGAGCCAAATTAAACATTGCTTTGGTTACTTTTCTATTTGCTGAGACAAAATACCTAAAAATTAAGGAAAAAAAGGTTTATTTAGCTCACAGTTTATGGAGGTTTCTGTCCATAATCAGCTGGCTCCAAGGCAGGGTGGTATGGTACAAGATCAAACATTAAAAGTGGTGGAAGACAGCACAAGCCACAAGAGCAAAAAAAAGGGGGGGGGGATAAGCCTTTTTTCCTCCCTTACATTGTGCAATCAGGCTACTCTAGGGGAGGTGTAGCACTCACACTATGTGGGTGCCCTCTTCTTACAGAGGCTGAGGGTTTTTACAAAGTGAGGACTTTAGCTCCCTGCAAGGTCAACATGAAGGATTTTAATCAAAGCAAGCAGAAGTGGCACTTTACCCAGCGGAACATGACAAGGCGCCCAGGGCGAAGCTGAGCAGGTTATCATAGTTAAAAGGAGGGGTAGGTATTGTTTCCGTCATGGGCTAAGAGCTGTGGGTGGCTCTTGTACTTTCTGTGTAATGTGTCTTTCTCTGGAGGAGGTTGGCAGCAGGGCTCTCCATTACATGGGTATTTCCTTGTTCTTGTGGTTAGGCTCTTGTAACGTGGCCATGGCATAGGCCTTTTGTTCCTATGTTTGGGCTTTTTCGGTGTTGGGGGCTGGTCATTGTTGGCCAGATTCATCAGTAACTTAAGTTTGTTTCTCTCCCTTGCTAAATGACTGCTGCCCTGATAACCATCCAGGACAGCTGTTCTCTGTGTGATGACTTAATGAGACATTCTGATTTGTGACTCTTCCATCTTCACTCTAGGCCTCCATGCCTGTCACCAACCGGAAGAGAAAGCCTTCAGAATGTCTCTGGGGCCTCCCATTGCCTCAGCCTATGGATGGGTCTCATCATACTCTAATTTCATTGGTCAAAATTGGTCACAAGATCCTGCTCAAGGACAGGGGACTTGGAAACAGCCTGCTAGGTGCCTGGAGAAGAGGACAGAAGAACCAGATGGGAGGAACCATGCTGCTGGGGACTGGCTTGACATGGTGCAGAGCAGGCAGCGATTGATATGAATAAATTAACAAAAATAAATTGAATCTAGAGTCTGTCTTTAGCCTAAATGACTTGTGGTGAGCGCCGTGGCTGGTGTGAAGAAGAAATTAATCTCCAGGTCAAAGCCTAGGACCGAAACCAGCAAACAGTCTGGGAAATCCTGGTGCCTCAAAGCAAGACTCCCAAATTTCTTCTAGCTCAGTATTCTCAGCAGATAATCAGGTTATGAGTTAACTACGCTCTGTTCCTATGTGTGTTTCCAGAAGGGCTTTGTTCTTCAAATCCTTGAGCCTTTCTCGCACCAGCAGCTCCTCCCCATCACCTCCTGCAGCCCACCAGCACACCCCCAATCAAGCTGTTCACCTAATAAAGGCCAAGGACTCTGTGCCTTGGGGTCTTAGTCCTTATTAGTTTCTTGTAAATAAAAAAATATATATACATATCTCGCCAGTGTTTTATTCTGTTCTTGTACCCCTGAGTGGGAAATTGGTGGTCCTAGGCCAGGGCCCCAATACCATTCCCACCCTCTTGGCTTTCTCGGGCTTTGGGTGAGTGAATTAAAACAGAAGAGAAATTTTGGGGAGTGATTTTTCAATAGCAGTAAAAAGATGGGATAACATGAGGACCTTCAGAGCTAGCATGAGAAGGTGTGAACAGAGAATTAGGTGATGGGTGGGGCGTCCGAAGGTGGGTTCAACATGGGGTGGGGTGGGTACACCCCATGATAAGCTTAGGACCTGAGAGAAATAAACTAGTGAAGCTAGGACTTAGAGTGGTTGAGTTAGCCAGAAACCCAAAGGAATGGAGCTACTGGGGAAAGGAAAGAGGACCATTACTGACTTGTGTGGGGTATGGACCACATGCCCGAGGACTGCCACACTATATTCATTAATGCTGTTTTCTCAAAAACTCACAAGGGTGACACTATCGGAACCCCCCCTTTAAGAGATGAGAAGCTGCACATTATTAAGTAAATAGCTCAGGTCACCTAGCTGGGTTAGGGGGATGTTTGTGCAGAGCTGGAATCCCGCAAGTCTCCCCAGATTCTGAATTTTATCTGACTGCAGAGCCTGGAGCCTGGGTTCTCTCACCTACTACCTGTAAACGCATCCTGAAGGGGAGAGAGGGGGAGCAGGGACCTGCACCCTTGGAAAGGTGCTGGGCTTTATGTCCTCTTGTGTTCTGGGACCTGCTCGGCAACCTGCAGGTCACGGTGCTCAGCACAGATCATCCTCTTGCTCCTTCCCTGGGCTTCGGGCCTGGGGGCAGCCATGTGGACCCCTGGGTCCCATTTGGCCTCTGTCTTTTCTAATGTCTGTGAGCAGGCTCGGCTGGGGGTTCTTGTGCAAGGGTGTACTGTGTCATTGGTTTGGGCAGGGCCGCTGGTGTGAGGGAAGGTGGAGGTCATCAGGTCTCTGTACACTCCGAGTGCTGCTGGCACCAATGAGAAGGCTTGAATGGGGATGCTTTGCAAAATGCCCTCTTGTTGTCTCCCTCATAAGTGGTACCAAGATAAAAGGGTTGGGCAGATGTGGTCCAGATACAATTGTGGATTACCTGAGATAATCACTGGGAAACATTCACACGAGTTCCTGGCACAGATAAGAGATGTTCAAGGAGTTTGGTTTTTACTATCTTCATCACAGATGTGGAAAATGGAAAAGAATCCCCAGCATGTTGCCCAGGCAGGTAACAAGTCACAAGCGGCAGGGCAGGGGCTCGAATCCAAGGCTGAGACAGAATTAGTCCCTGTCCTCCTGGGACCCTGAGGATGGCAGCTGAGCAGCTGGGATTTTAGCCACCATGGATTGCAAGAGCACATGCCTGCCTTTTCCACTAAAATACTGTTTTGCACATAGAACAGTGTGCAATTATTTTCTGGCCAAGTGGCACAATGGGTAATAACAATGTAGGGGAGGAAAGTACTTTTCCCTTGATCCTTCTGCGTTCTTAGCTGGGAGAGGCTTCCCTAATGAGAGACAGGTTATGAGAGGAAACGTTTGCGTGTAGTTCAGAGTTCCGGCTTATGTAGCATCTCCATGGCAGAACAACACGCTCGTGAGAAGCAGCAGGACGGAAGAAAGCCTTGGTTCGTCAGGACTGGAAACTGAGCAGGTTTGCTTGCTGAGTCCTCTGGCGCTATTTCTGGGCTGCTAAAGCGTCAGCTTCTAGAGTAGAGAAGAATTTATATCCCACTTTAGGCAGCAAAAGGAGAACGCAGAAAGAGTGCTTTCCCTCTATTTGCTGGTTCTTGCCTTTAGCTCAAAAATGATTTTTACTTCAAAGGTGCATACTTTGGGGCAATATATTCTTCAACAGCTACTTAAGTGAGAGTCCATACTAAATGCTAGCCTAGTACCGACTATAAACTGAAAAAGCCCCCCAGGAAGTGAGCACATTGATACCTATTTTACAGAATGGGAAAATAGGGCACAATTTTCCCTAAAATTGTAGTTAGTGGGTGCTAGAGTCAGGATGTGAAGTCAGATTTGGGGATTTTTATGGCTTTTGTGCTTTGCCCTGGAATCTGTGTCTGAACAGAATTGGACACGGAACCATAAATTCTGAGCTGCCTTAGCTCTGGGAAAGGTGGTGAAGGGTAAGGCGATTGTAAGCATCTTGACTTCAGTCTTCCTTGCTGTGTAAAACACCGGTTGAAAATCACTGCATAGTTCTGTGTTGCTGTTTCTGACTCTATGTTTTTGGGTAAAAACTGATGAACTCTTTTTTCCTCAGCTTCTGGGAAGCTCACAACTTTCTTACAATTAATTGTGACGGTATCCCTGACTCCAGGTCTGGAATAATTCCTGTCCCCCAACTCCCCATCACAATGCCTGTCTTTCACTCCGTGATCACTGTTTAATCTGGAAGACAGAAGCCATGCTCTGAATTCACAGCCACATGAAGGATAATTTAAGGCCTAAGAGTAATGGAAGCAATGTCACTGGGGACAGAGGATGGCAGATGTTGGGGATGCTCTGGGCACTCCTGCATGTGCCGTTTGGGCTGTCAGACCCAGTGAAGGGCCTCTGCACCGTGGCTCTTTCTGTTTTTCAGGACAAGCCTGAAGTTGGCTTTGCAGGGAGGATGAGCGTTTTAGATCAGACACCAAGACGGGCAAGGATTCTCTAGTCTCAGAGAAATGTTTAACTTGGAGGGGGGCTCTGGTCCACTGAGCTGTTGCCAAGCACCCTGGGAGCATTGCTGGGGCCCTTCATCAGGCACCACTGTTCCCTGTCTCTCTGTAGGCCTTTCTTGGGAAGAAGATGAGTTCACTTAATGGGAAGGCTAACTTTGGAGAATAATCTCAGTCCCATATCTTCTTAGGATGAGTGCCAGCAAGTCATCAACCCAAATAATTTTGTCTGGTGGGCTGTTTTGGTGTCCCCACTCCCCCCATTCACACATTAAAGCTCTAATGCTCAGTGTGATTGCCTCTGAAGATGGGTTGGGAGGTAATTAGGTAATTAGAGAAGGTCACAAGGGTGGGCCCGCATGATGGGATTAGTGCCCTTAAAAGAAGAGATACCAGAAAGCTTGGACTTTAAACCTCCAGAACTGTGAGAAGACTAAGATGGCCAGTCTGTTGTATTCTGTTGTAGGCAGCACAGGCCAACTAAGACATGACAGGATGGACTCGGGCAGTTAAGTCCTTCACGTGCCTGAGCCTTGTTTTCTTCATGTAAGAGTGGGAAGGATGACACAGGATTGCCACGGGTGGCTATATTGTAGGTTCTCCATAAGTGCAGTGATTCTTACTGATGTCAGTGCACAAATTTTTGAATCCTTTGGGTCCCAGGGCCCTGCTTTGGGCCCGGAGGTAAAGTTGAGGAGGACCAGACGAGGCCTCTGGGTGCCTGGAGCTTGGGGTTCCTAGCATCTCCAGGGCGGTGAGGCTGCTCTGCAGAGCTGCAGGGACCCACACTGCAGAGTCAGGAAGGGAGGGCTGCTTCCCTTCCTGAAAGCTGTCCTCTTCCCACGGCTTTGCCTTGGGGGCCGGGCTGCCATGCAAGATGGTTTTGTTTTTCAGAGCCCAAATCAGCACTGGGAGAGGATGCAGCCTCCGTGGGACAGGGCTTGCAGTCTTGGTTCCTGACTGGGGCAGGCCCTCTTCCACAGCTGTACAGCAGCCCCTCCCTCTCTTCCTCAGGGCTCCAGGACTGGGTGGTCATTGACCTTCTCCCTGGAGGGCTGATCCTACTCTGGACTCTCCTGGGGGGTAGAAGCTGCAAAACCGAATTGGATGGCGGGGGCCCAGGCAGACTGAGGAAAGCCCAGGGGTCAGACAGAGCAGGACTTGCAGGCCAAACTGACCACTCTGGGTGAGGTAGGACCTGGGAGAGGAAGGCAGATGGGGCCTTCTCTGGTTCCCACGGCTAAAGCGAGGGCAGGATCTGGGTAAACTGCAGGAGAAGGAGACGGATTTTCTTATACATCTATTCAGCTGATCTCTGAGCGCCTTCTGTATGCCCTATGGGTGTGGATTCCGGAGAAACAGGACAGCAATCCCTGTGCTCTGGGGCTGACCCTACTGTGAGGGGATGTAAGTAAAGTATGAACGCTCAGTGATAACAGACTTGAGAGGAGAAAATAAGGCAGAGAGGTTAGAGGCAGGGAGAGATCGGCTATTGCCCTTGGTTCTGTGGCCTCTTTGGCTGGAGCTGGGAAGCAAATGCGTACCAGGCTAATGGAGAAGAGCAAAGCATATGGGTTATTTTAGGGGCCCATGGGCACCTTCCCAAGAGCGTGAGGGCTGAAGAAGTGACTAAAGCTGACGCTTTGATAATTTTTAGAGAATAGAGCGTTTGTAGAGGAAAGACAGGATGCCTGGATCTCTGGACTAGGGTGATGAGTTCCAAAGTCCCCCAGCTGTATACGGGGCGTTTGAAAGCCCCTGGACATAGGAGTTTGCTTATCCAGGTGGGCTGCTGCTCCACTGACCAGTCTCTGGTGACCAAGGCTACTTTGCTGCCTTGCACAAGAAAACATGCTTCCCTGAGAATCTTCCTGTCCGCGGGTCCGATGGTTCTCTCTGAAGTCCCAGTGTGGACTGTGAGTTCACTGAAGCGATAGCCAGACCAGCTGGCTTTAGATGGCCCGTCCTAACTCCTTAGAGAGGAATTGTGTAGATGGTGGCCTTTTCACCATCTACACTAGGAGAAGCGTGAAAAAGACTCAAGGAGGTAAGGGAGCTGAGGGCGCGCGGCTGCCTCGGAGGACGCTGCTGGCCGGAGGTGAGAAGGGGGCTCAGGGAGTGTGCGGAGCCAGGGCTGAGCCACCGGGGCTGGCCGTGGGGAGCCCGCCGAGGTGAAGGGAGCAGGAACTGGCTGGACTTTCCGCAAGGCGGGAATAGCCGCCTCTTGCAGCCAGCAGAGGGCGCTGTGCAGGAGGCTGTGACCGACCGCTGCAGGATCGCTTTGAGACCAGGTAGGGGGAAGTCACAGCCAGAAAGCAGCAAAGAGCGTGCACGCTATCTCCGTGTGCCCCCAGCAGGTGGCACAGGAGTGGGCACTCAACAAATACTCAATTACTGATGTCCAAATTCCCACTCTCAGGCCGTTACCTGAATATCGGAAGTTACAGAAAAAGGGAACCCAAACCCAGTACCAACGGATCCTGATATAATAGGCTTCTGAAGGGGGAAGAGAATATTGAGTTTTTAGCGTGGCCTGCAGGCATTCCTAGGCATGAATTTAGGTGTGATTTTCTTTTGTGTCACTTAGGTACCATACTTGATCTTAGCTAAGAGGCTGAGAAACAATATTTATATCATTGAGGAACACTTTGAGTTGTATGTAATAGATTGACCAACTTAGACAAACAAGGCTTTATTACTATTTACAAGAATTCTTGAGAAAGATAGCTGTTGGCATTGGCTGGGTCAAAGGATCTCTTGTGATTCTCTTGGCCTTTTTCTCCTGTAGCAAAGTGGCTGCTATGGTTCCAGGCATCACATCATCAATTGAAGCAGGAAAAAAGGAGGGGGTGGGGAAGGAACTAGGCACATGTCTTGTTTTTTTTAATTCAGAAAAGCATGTTTCTCAAAGCTCCTGTAGATTTCAGTTTCATTGGCCATACCTGGTCACATGGTCACCGTGAGCTTTGAAGCAGATTACAGCCATGAGAATCAGGATTTATAGCCTGTCTCATGGGGAGGGGACTGAAGGCTCTGGAGGTCTCAGCTGTCCAGGGGCAGAGAGTGGAGCTGGGAATGTCCAACAGGGAGTACCAAGGTGTCTGCCTTGGACCCGCTAGATGACAGGATGTTTTAGGTCCCTTTTACACCTGAGGCCTCATTTCTGTGGAGCCACACTGGGGATCCCTGGCTGAAACCTCAAGCATTCCTAGCCCATCTGGACACTGTCTTGCCTGTATCCCTCTTGCCTGTATCCCTCAGCGAATTTAGCCCCTTGCATATGCTAGGCAAGGATTCTATCAGTCACATCCCTGACCCTTTTTATTTTTAGACAGGGTCTTGCTAAGTTCCCCAGACTGGCCTCGAACTTCCGATCTTTCTGCCTCAGCCTCCCAGGGTGCTGGGATTGTCCAGGTGTGCTGCCCTCCCAGGCCACTTCAATGAATGGCTCGCCAAGCTTGAGGCAGAGAAGTTTACTCTTCAGGGGAAAAGAAACATGGCAGGCTTATTCCCTAGATTGTTAAGAATGGCATAGGTGTCAAAGAGTAAAATATCCGGGTCGGGAAAAACAGGTGGATTTCCTGGAGGAGGCCCAGGTGTTTTCAGGGGCCTCAGGGGACCAAGGCCAGAGAGCCCAGTCCATCAGCACGCAGTGGGGTCTTCAAGCTACTGTTGCATTTCTAGAAGCCCTCTGCAAATCCCTGCACATTTGCTTCCCAAAGAGGCTGTAAGAAAAGGCAGAGTTATTTTTCTTTTTAGCAGAAATTCCACAATGGTGTAGTCACACTGTGGGAAATGTAGATTGGCAGTTATGGACATCTCTGGGGAAAGTGACTGTCCCATAACCAACGTGGTTTGTGGGGTGGATGTCTTCCAGAGCCAGGAGTCCCTGGGGTGGGCCACCAGCATGGCTACCGCTGGGTGCCACAGCCTTGCCACTCCCAAGAGGGTTCTCAAAGCACCCTTCCCTGACAGCAGGTTAGACATGCGGAACCTGAGCTCCTGGCCCAGAGCTGCTGACCAAAGCTGTTTCATCAAGATCCCCTGTGATTTCTATGCAGTGAACATGGAGAAGCGCTACTGAGGTTGGGGAGCTGCAGCCTGGCTGGGAGTGGTGGTGGGGCTTGAGAGGCCCCGGGGGAGGAGGAGGAGGAGGAAGAAGAGGAGGAGGAGAAATCGAAATCGAGGCATAGCAGGGGGTGGGGGCTGGAAACCTGTCTTGGTTTGTCCCCTCCCCGCCTGGCTGTGGTAGCTGCCTCTGAGCTGCCCTGCCCTTCCTGTCCCACCCACAGCTCAGCCTCTCTCTGCTTGGTGCCTTTCAAGGCAGGAGTCCTTGAAACCCGGTTCTGCCCCACATGGACACTCCCCAAGACCTGTCCCTCCTTTCCAGGTCTGCCAGGAAGGCCTCTTCTGCTGGGCTCAGAATCAGGAAGGGTGTGTGGAGGCTTTCCTGGCAGTGGTTTCATTTCCTGATAATGGCAGGAGGGACAAATGGGCAGAAGGAAAAGCCCAGGAGCTCAGGTGTCCCTAGCTGCCCAGCCAGCGCCGAGACCCAGGGGCAACACATTTCTATGCGAGCAGTGTCAGCATCACAGTTGGCCGGGGACCCAGGCCTGCAGGGTGGGGTGGGGTGGGGGGCTGCAGAGGCGTCCGGGCAGTGTGGGCCCTTACAGAGCCCTCTCCTCACTGGTCAGGGTAGCAATTCTCCGGAGGTTTTCCCTGACTTTGATAAATTCCGGGGCGTGGTCTTCTTCCTTTTCCGGTGGTTTTTCCAGCTGGAGGAGAGAGAGGCAGGTGTAAATGGCTGGAGCTAAGGGATCCCCTTCCCAAAAATTGTGGGTTTGGACCACAGGTTTCCTCTGGGGAACAAAACCAAGCTGGGTAAGTTTGGCCACCAGCCTGGTCAGGGAGGGTGCAGAGGCTGAGATTGAGTTCTGGGAGCTAGGTGCAAATCACTTAGCCCTCCTGCCTCCCCGCCTCTGCGGTGGGGTGCCTTGGGGAGGCTATGACAACAAATCAGAATGAGCTTGCAGTAGGGAGACGCCGACATCCCCAGGGCCCAGACAGCTGTGGGGGTGCCAGCGCGGGCCCAGCGCCCCTTCCCACCTGATTCAGTCTCTGCTGCCGTCTCAGCAACTCCTGCTCGAAGGGGCACTGCAGCCGCTTGGCCTCCAGCTCCTCCTTCTTCTTCTTGATGAGCTGGTTCCGGCGGCGGTGCTCCAGGACGCGCTGCAGCTCGGGCTTGCTGTCTACTCCGATGCCCCTGAGGGGAAAGCGCGTCAGGAGGCCTCCCCTGCCCACCTCCCGCACCCCAGGGCTACCCCTCCCAAGGGAGGTCTTTGGGAGTCCTCTCCTACGATTCCCGGGAAGCCCGGGAGGTGGAGCCACTGCTGTGTCACTTGGGGAGGGGACTGAAGGCTCTGGAGGTCTCAGCTGTCCAGGGGCAGAGAAAGATCAGAGCCCAGCGTGCAGAGACCCGGCTTTGCGTGGCTTCTGGAGATTTTCCTAGGACAGTTTCTCAAGGCGGGCTTACTGGGTTGAGCACCTTTCAGACACTGTGAGTACTATTTCCTTAGAAAAGTTACCCATCTTGTACTTCTGCACCGTTCTTCAAGAGCATTTATTTCTCCTGGTCCTCACAGTCAACCCTCTTTATATTTGAGAGTCTGATAAGCAAGAAGTAATACCTGGTTTCATTTGTTTCCTTGACTATTAGTAACCAGAACAGCTTTGCTACGATTCCTGGCCGTCTGCATTTCTCCTTTTGTGAGTTAATTCTGCCTGATTTTGTTCATCATTTTTTGTGGATGGAGATATGGATACATTAATTTTTTTTGTATATACATTTTTCAACATTATTTATTTTTTATTATAAATATTCCTGTGGTTTGTCTTTAAGTAGTTTTGTTTTTGGAAGCAGGAATCGAACTTAGGACCTCACACTTGCCTGGCAGGCGCTGTGCCATCCTGGACCCCTAAGCCAGTTTCTGATGTGATTTTTTTTTTTAACATTAAGAGAGGTAATCATTTTTTTTTTTTTTTGTCTTTTTCCTTTTTATCGGTACCAGGGATCGAACTCACGACTGCCTGCTTGCAAGGCAGGCGCTTATATGCCGCTGAGCTAAATCCCCAGCCCCAAGAGTGGTAATCATTTTTAAAAAGGCATTCATAATACTAAGTGGAAAAAAAAAAAGCCCAAATCAGCGCAGTGTTTTGGGGCTGTTTTTCTGTGGAAGGGGCCTTAGTCAGTACTAGAATTCCTATCACCCCACTAAAGATGAGAAGGGAAATCACAAAGGGTCCCAGGGCTGCAGCCGGCCGTGTGTGTGTGTGTGTGTGTGTGTGTGTGTGTGTGTGTGAGCTCAGCCTCCCACTGCCCCAGTTCACACCCAGCCCTGTCACCTCCCAGCTGTCCCCAGGGCATTGCTGTGGGGGATCCCACCGCCATCTGCCATCTGCCCTTCTCTGCAACCCTGGGGCCCACTCCTCAGCCAGGGGGGCCTTTCTGAGGCATGGGGTGCAGACTGTCCTGTTCTGCTGAGGGCCCACCCAGCGCCCACTCCTCTTCTGGCCTGCAGCACCCGGCCCCCGCCTCAGCCACCCCAAAGTCACTGTGCTCCTGACATCTGAACATGTCACACCTGTGCAGGCACTGGACAACTCCTGCTGGCTAACTGAGGTGTCCCCAGTTTCGGCGAGGCTTCTTTCACCTCTTCCCAGTCCGTTCTCTGGGGTCTCAGGCCCATTTCTAACCCAGCCAAGCACCCATCCTAGTACTACTGTGAAGTCAGGGACTGGATCCCCTTCTGTTATGGCTTCTACCTGGATGTCACCCAGAAGCCCTCTGTGACAGGCGGGACGTTGGGGAAGGGACTGGATCATGGGGTGTGATATTCAGTGGTGGGTCACTGGGGTGGCCTGGAAGACTGTGTCTCCCTTCCTGTCCCTTGATCTGTCTCTGCTCCCTGTCACCATGCCATGGACTGTTTCTCTTCGGTCATGTCACCCTGCCTGGGAGCCAATGAATTATCAGCTGAAACCTCTACAGACTGTGAGCCAAAATACAGCTTTTCCTCCTTAGGGTTGTAGGTATCCAGTACTGTGCCTCAGTGACAAGAAAAGCAACACAGATACCTTTCTCCTTGCATTCTAGGTCTAGCCACAGTTTGACTGGGAGGAAGAACTTCTTTATATGTGTGTGTGATACCAAGGGATTATACCCAGGGCCTTCACATGGATCCCCTCAGCTCTCCTCAGCCTCCAGGAGTCCTGGGAGGAAGGCCAGCCCTCCTCTTCCTGAGGGCTATCTCCCTACACTCCTGCAGGCCCTAGCAGGGCTTGCTGCTTGCCAGGCTTGGGCTGCAGGGCCGCATCCCCCTCACCTTCTGTGGTTCATGAGCAACTCTCTGTGCAGCTCCTGGTGGCTCCGGGAGGCCTTCACGGGGTTCAGCAGCTTCTTGGGCTTGATGAGCTCGGGGTTCCACTCTCTGTACTCTGGCCGAGCCATGAGGCCCCCGATGTCTGCCCGCTCCCTCTGGATCTCTGAGTACATGGAGGCTGTACAGGTGGGCAGAGGATTGGGTCAAAGAGGGCTCAGCATATGGGCTGAGTCTTGCATGTGTTTTTGACTTGATTCTGCAAAAAGGAAATGCCTTCCCCAGTAAGAGGGATCGAGTTTAAACTTCTGCTTCACAGTGCAGTTGTGCCAGAAAAAGATGTTTGAAGAGTGCTGTGTGCGTGTCAAAGACAATTTAGACAAATGCCCTACAAGGAAAACATCCCCTATTGTCCAGCAGCCTCTCCATAGCCCCAGATTTGCTCATGGGAATGTCCAGCTGTCCATTCTGCCCATATCAGAGAGGAGACTACAAAATGCAGGGGCTGCTATGTCTGTCCCTACTCACAAAGTGACGGTTGTCATGTTTTAACAAATGCCTGGCTACTCAGTCTCCCTCTGCCAGAGCAGCTTGAAACTTGCCAGTGTCCTTGAAATTCAGGCTGGAGGGTTCCTTCAGCTTCAGACTGTACCTCACCCTGGAAATGCTTCAGGGAGTGGGGAGCGTGAGTGAGGGAACTGTGAGCAATGTCGCAGGGCCAAGGATGCAGCTCAGTGGTAGAGCACCTGCCCTGCGTGTGCCTGAAAAACCAAAAAATCCTTTAAAAACTCTCAAACGGGTAGCCACTGCCTGGCCACTGGCCACCTGCAGTAATGACAGTGACCATTTAGACCTGAGTCCTGCCCTCTTCGTGGGTCCAGGTCTGCTAAGATTGAGCCCCTTCTCTGTGCCAGGCACCGGCAGTGTCTGATCTAGTCAGAAGTGTATCAGGCCTCAAAAAATACCTCTTGGTAACTGATAATAAAATATGGCCTTGCTGGGCATGGTGGTGCACACCTGTAATCTCAGCACTCAGGAGGCTGAGGCAGGAGGATCACTGTGAGTTGGAGACCAGCCTGGGCCACAAACTCAGTTCAATGTAAGCCTGAACTGCACAGTGAAACCCTGTTTCAAAAAGACCAAAAATGGCGTTGGGGAACCATTGCCTAAGTCTGTGTGCTCCATGAGGCAACAGAGGGTGTGTGTCCCTACCTCACACACTGGGCTTCAGTTGCCCTCCTAGGACATCAAGCCCATGGAAACCATTTCCTCCAGGCTGCATGTTGATGGCTAGGCTGGAGTTTCACAGGGAAATGGGTGGGGCAGTGGCCCTGGGACACCTGGAAACTTGATAGCTTGCTGGGGTAGGAAACAGAGGAGGCGAAGTGAAGGGGTGCAGGTGGGTGGTGGCCGGTGGGGGAGCGAGGGCTGGAGCAGGAGACTGGGCTTTGTGTGGCCCTGCTGTTACCAGTGTCACCGGGAGGAGAGTTAGGACCACGTACGTGAGAGCGTTGTGCACACCGGAAAGAGTGCAAGGTGGTATCCTGTGGATGCAGCCGGATTCAGTGTCAGAAAACAGAAACATATCTGCTATTTATTTTCTTGAATTTGCATTCTTAGAATGACTTCTACAATGAGAATTCTAATTGGCTTCCTTCCTTTTCATCTTTTCCATAAGATTGCTTGTTTTCAGACAATATCCTTTCTAACTTTTTGGTTCTTAAAAAATGATCATGATGGTATTATGTAGTTTAAAAACAGGCAAAATAAGCAGTTGCCTCTATCCTTCTGTATCCCCCTTTTGTGGGGATATTTTCTTCATCTATGGGACCAACTTGTCTGGGAGTCAAAGTACTAGAACACCCTGATTCAAACTGGAGTTTTGGGGCCTCCTCCCCTTGATACCTACTTCTTTCCCAAGCTCCAAACCCTTCAGGTCCTCGCTATGGAGTTCAGGCTGGCCTTGAACTACGGAGTCTAGGCTGAGACTACACCTCTCCCCGACTATTTCTCTGAATTTGTGTCGATCCGCCTGCTTCAGCCTCCCGAGTGTGTGGTATACATTACCATACCTGGCCGTACTAAACTGTAATAGCTACTGTGACTCCTGGTTACTCTGCCTGTCCTTAGTCTGTTTGTGTCCCAAATCTTCCAGAGTTATACACTTCATTTTCACAGCCGTCTTTACCAGAGCAAACTGTATGTGGCCAAAGTTATAAGACGGGAAACAGAAATAAGTTCTATAACTTTAGGAAATGGCCAAGTTAATATTTGAAAAGATAAAGCTACACAGTCAGCCATGCACTAGGAGAGAAAATTCAGTAAGATGCCAGATACAAAGTAATCACTCACAGTCAAGAGTGCCACACAACAGGCGCAACGCCCGTGGCAGGCCACCAGGATGAGGTCTCTGCTCTCACTGAGCCCAAGGAAGGGGGCAGATAGCACACTCACACACACACACACACACACACACACACACTCACCCCCCACCCCCAAATGACTGCAATGGTACTGAGCTCCAAGGCCTGCTTCACTGGATTTTAACCCAGGACCCAGCTTCAGCCAGGTGCGGGAGGCCTCTCAAAGGGGCTGCATGGAAGATCGGGGGCCTGGGACTGAAGGGGGTGTCCGAGTGGGCCCCACTCTTGCACCTTCAACAAGCAGTCTGTTCAGGGAACACAAAGGCGCAGTGTGCCCGAGACGGGATGGGTGGGCTCAAGTTGGGAAGGATCGCGTCTGAATTCAGCTTAAAAGGTCATTCTGGATGCCATGCCAGAAAGGCTGTCAGCAGGTTTTGAAAATCTTTGTGACTCTGGTTTCCTTCGCTTGCAGCAGGAAGTCTCGGTGGCCTCTCCTTCCCACTAAACTCCAGAGGAAGAAACCTCCCATTGGTCCGGCTGAGAGGCGTGGCCCATGGTCACTGCTAGCACTGCTAGCCGACTGCTGACTGTCCAGGGTCATTCCCTGCCCAGAGGAGGACTCAGTCTTGCTTTAACCTTCTGCCATCACTGTGCCCTGCCCAGCTATCATGCCCCGGGTCTGGGTGGCAGCTGGTCCTGGTTCAGGGGTCTGCTCTGGGCCCCCTTTCCTTTGCCATGAGATTAGCAGTGAGGCTGAAGGATGTGGCTGGTTCTTTCTTCTTTCCTTCTGTTTTTTTTTTTTTCATTTCAAGTTCTGGGAATTGAACTTAGGGCCTTTGCACCCAGTTACATCCCCAGACTGTTCAGACTATTTTTGTTTTGTACTTCAGAGATAGGGTGTTGGTAAGTCCTTAAATTACCCAGGCAGGCCTCAAACTTAAAACCTCTCTGCCTCAGCCTCCCAGAGTGCTGGATTTACAGGTGTGCACCATCATGCCCACCTGGGGCTAGTTCATTCACCCAGAGCTGCAGGGGGGAAGCTGCTCCTTTTGGCTCTTGGGGTACTGAAGTGTGAAATCCCAGCAGGCAGCCCACGTGAGGTCCTAGTACACAGGTGTGTGGGGGTGGGGAGGTGAGGCCTGTTGGAAACCCCCAGGGCTTAAGAACTGCAAAGCCACCCTTCCTGCCTTTTAATTCCATGAAGGCTTCTGAGTAGAGGAACCTCACACAAACTGGCTCACAAAGGAGGCTTTCTTGAAGGAAGCCTTAAAGCCGTGCAGTGCCCAGCTTGCCAACTGGCCGTCCTGGATGGGCAGCCCTGGTGGCCAGCTGAGCCCTCATCCCTTGCCAAGGACTGCACAACTTCAAAGCTCAGGAAAATCTGGACTGTCCTGGAGCCCAGCGGGCCTGTAAGGGAGGCTGGGGTCATTTTTAAGGTTGCTGAGCATCCTGAGATCCCACGTGCTGGAGAGGTGTCATTAACAGGTCAGGACTGAGAATAAAAAAGGTGAAAAACACTACAGAAGAGCTGCAGAGAGAGGAACTGGGCAGAGGAGGAGGACAATGTTAAACGGCTAATATCCCTTAGAGACCTTGAAAACCTTCAGACCTGGTTCGAATCTCAGCTCTGTCCTTTTTCAGTCTAGGGCAAGCTGGCCTGTCCTGGGGAACCGGAGTCTGAAACCCTGGGCCTTTGGTCCAAATTCTGAAGTCTTGGAGCGTGGCTGTGCCCCCTCAGTACTCACATCTGTGCCGCTTTCAGGTGTGAGCAGCAGAGCCGTGTGGGAGGGACAGCTGTCTCGGTGTTTTCTCCTCTGCGGGTGGGAGCAGAGCAGAGCCCTGCTCATGAGGCTTTTGTTTAATACACGAAGTGATACTCGCAAGTGCCTGGCAAATGCCTAGCACAGAGGGTTAAGGCTTGATGTTGGCTGCCAGAGCTGCCACACATAGCAAGGCAGGTGTGCACAGATCAGCTCCAGGCCCTCAACTCCTGCAGCGTGAAACTGTCTGTGGTACCCCTGGACTGCAGTGTGATTTCCCAGTGAGCTGCTCGTAGCCATTACAATTAATAAGTCCCATCGCCAACCCTGGATCCAGCACTCTCACTCTCCTTGAAAGCTGCCTGGGTTAAGTCCGTGGACCTTAGCCTTGGCTGGTTAAGGTGTCACATGCTGGTGTCACCAAGGAGGTTGTAATAAACTAATCCTGATTCCCCCACAGGGATTCTGATTTAATTGGCTTGGAAGCCAACTTGGCCTCTGAAAGTTTTAAAACTCCCAAGGTGATTTAAATGGTGGGACATCTTTGCAAACCATAGACTTAAACAAAGAACCCAAACAACCAAGGTTCTCTGCTTTTGCCCAAGTGATCTGGCCCGGTTATCATGAGCAGGTCTGTGAGAGGTTCCTCGCCTTCATGAGACTTGGGTGGGTCTGTGCTTCCTGGGGAGCTTCTTCTGTATAATGATACCTGCAGACCGATGAATTCAAGAGCTGGGTGTGGGGCTGCAGGAGGCAGGGTGTCTTGCAGAACTTCACAATGAGTGGCTAATTCCCACTCAGCATGCACACTGTGGGGCTGACCTTGTTACTCAAGGTTGGGAGCAACAAGAGGTTGGAGGACAGGAGAGACTAGAGCCCCTAGCTTAGTTCTTCCCTGGTTCTCCAGATGACCCCAGAGATACCCACACCAGATAAGGCTCAGACTGGGCTTCCAGAGCAATCTCATTAGGCTGCGGGGGTGTGCATGGCTACTGTTAGGGTAGCAGCTTTGAAATGAAATGCCAGTATTCTCCTAGGTACCAGGAAAAAGAGAGATGAAGAGGAGTTATACTGATGGGGCTCCCGGTCCCCCTTCATCCTGAGACTGGCTAAGGGACCACAGGCTGAGGTATTCATGGTCCTTCCATCTCTCTGTCCCTTGTTCTAGTGGTTTCAATTGTGTCTTTCATGGCTTCAGTCATACCAACGACATGTAAGCACTGTGGCTACAGCCAGTAAAGCACTGTGGCTAAAGCAGATGCCTTTCCTAGCTGTGTGATTTCCCTTCCCTTCCTGTGCTGCTTCTCTCCACAGTGGTAAATGGCAGAAACTGCTTGTGGGGCTTCCTTAGGCTGAAATGACCCCATGTGCAGACATGCTAGGCCCAGGGCCTGATGGAATGGGCCTCAGAAATCTAAACAGTGGTCCTGCTGACCAGAAGGACCTTGCTGCTGAGCCCTGGAAGCTTAGACATTATCACCCCAAGAGTTTATGGGTAAAAATCAGGGCTGAGCTTTGCAGTGAATAACTGACAAAGCCAGGGTCCTCTGACTCTAGCTTCAGTGCTCTTGTGACCATACCACTGCCTTCAGATGCAAAATGTTTTTCTGTTGACAGAGTTTCCCTTTCCTCTCTTTTTACTCAAGAAACTCTGATGAAGAGGCTTTGGGAGCCCATTTTAGAGACAAGAAAATGGAGGCCTGGTAACCGGAGGGCTGTGAGCCCACATGAAGCAAACCCTCACTGAGATCCCCAGGCCTGGCTGCCCCCAGGCCAGTCCCCTCCTGGGTAGTCACTCAGAGTTCATTGTCCTCCTCCTCAGCACTGTTCTGGTTCAGCATGTGACAGGGTGGCAGGGCAGAGGAGGGGGAGACAGGCTTTTAAAATAATGGCTGGCTAGAAAGATGCATTCGGCCCAGTAACAAGTACGGCTGCTGGATTTCCCAGCTCTTCCTGCCTTTTTCCTCCTGGTGGGCAAAGTGCCCACTTGGATTTCTCTGGCCAGCGACCACAGAACCTCCTCCAGGTCTGCCGGCAGCCTCTGGCCAGTGCTTGGACGCCCGAGCAGAGCAGTTTGTGCATGTGGATTTGATGCCTCAGACACACTGCCTGACCCCTTTGCCTTGACCACCGCAGCTTCCTACTTTGTGAGGAATGTGTCTGGGTGGGCCTTCAGGGTTTGAGTCAATTCTGTACTCAGTCCAGGGCTGGACGCGGGGGTCCTTAGGAGGCTGGTGGTCAGCGTTGTGCCACTGCAGGGAACAAGCATCAGCAGACCGGGCCTTCCCGCAGGGGCCTCTGTAGGGAGACCCCGGCAGGACCGACTGCTCCCCGAGCTAAAGGAGCCACTCAGGACACAGTGCGGTCTCAGTCAGAAACCACCAGGTCAGAAAGTGACACACCGATTTCCATGGAGCCTGATTGCTGGCCCAATCTAGACTAGTCTACACCACCTTACTCTAAGGCTGCCGTCACCAAATGGGCAGACCGTCGCCATGGTACCTAGGAGGTGCCAGGCACAGTACTGAGACCTAGCGGCTGTGTCTCCTGGAATTCTCACAGCAGACCGAAGAGGTGGCTGTATAATTATCTCCTTTGCAGACGAAGACTGTGAGGCTCAGAGAGGTGATCCGATTTCCCCAGATCACACAGCCAGTGAATGAAGGAACCAGAATCTCAGCTGAGCTCTAATTGACACTAAAGGCTGTTTTCTTGGTTGTACCCCAGGACACCCACCTGCTGGGTGCTAATGGATCCAGGCAAGGCCACATGGTGTATCCACTCAGATTGCTCTGAGTATTCAGGAGCAAAAGATCAACAGAAATGCAGGGCTGTATGGGGTACCCGCTCCTAAGCCAGACTGGCAGCAGCATTCTCTGTACCATTTCACCCAGGGACCCAGGCCCCTCAGGTCAGAGAGTTCAGCCCACCCACAGCCCCGCAGCGCCCCCGCCTGTCCCCCTGCCCTCCCGCTCCTCCCAGGGCACAGGGCTCAGACTGAAGGCAGGTGGAAGCGAACAGAAATGGTCTTACTTCTCACGCTGGGTCCCGGGAGGGAAGTCAGGAGCAGGGCTGCTGGCTCCTCACTCCACTGCGAAGTCCCAGACTGGCCAGGAGGGCCGCCTCCAAAGGGCGGTTCTTAAAGCCCTGGGGATGGGAGGCTGCTGAAATGAGCCAACAAGTGAGGCTGCTTAGCATTCCTGTTTATTCTGGTATCAATAAAAAGGAACTGTTACTATAGTAACGGATATTTCGCTGGTGCGCGGCCACTTCCATGGTGCGGAACACCATGTCCAAATCACCCATTTGACAGGCACAAATAAGTATCTATTTTGTCAGACTGATGAGGAATAAGCCATTTGCCAAGCTTTGCTTGGCATGGGGTGGTTCTTGCAGAGAAACTTCCCGTTTCTTAACAGAGGGTCAGAGAGAGTGGACTCCAGAGCTTCCTGGTGGAAAGGGAAGCTGAGCTTCCTGCTGCAGTGATGAATTCTCCAGGACAAAATGCTCTTGGGGAGTGAGGAGTGGGAGGTACAAGGGAGCGGAGATTACACAGTTTTGGGTGAGTTCCTGGTCATCTACTAGGGTCAAAAACTACCTTCACAATGCTTATCTGACACTCTGAATGCCTCTGGAGTTTCACAGAGGAGCCAGGGGCACTAGCTTGGGAGTGGGTAGTAGCTGGCAATGTCCTGCCCAAAGCAGCTCCGGGGTCAGCTGGGCTCCAGCACCAGCCTCTCGGTGGTCACTGAAGGCCTCTGAGCCTGGCTTGTGTGTGCCAGATGTTGGGAGATGACCTACATGAGATGACACTGCTTAGCTAACGGGACTTTGCTGCAGAGGGCCTGGACTCAGTGGGCTGTGGCTGGGCTTCAGCACATGGCCGTGGGCTGGCAAAGTTCATGTTCCCTGAACCATGCTCCATGAGGATGTGCAGATATTAACACAGCCGCTCTGCAGATATCTAAGGCCAATCTGGGTGCTTGCAGAGGACAGAAGCCTTCCCCGAATCCAGGAATTGGCTTTCTACTAGTGAGGCTGGGCCTTCAGGTATAGACATTTAGAGGTTTTTCTAGTTCTTGGCATTACCCTTTGCCCATAGTGAGGAAGCTGGCATTGACCAGTTAACCTGGGCCTTTGCCCAACTTTCCTTCCCCATAGACTCTTGTAGGCTGAAAGGTGGGGAGGCCCAGGGCACACCTCACACCCGAATGGAGACATTATAATGAAAGCTTGTGTTCTCACCGCCCTGTAGGACTCTTCACTTAGTAAACACTGGCTGAGTACTTGCTGTATTCCCAGGGCCTCTCAAGTGCAGGGATGCATACAAAGGAGGCAGACAGGATGCCTGTCCTCGGGAAGCTGACACTCAAGGGGGCTCAGACAGTAAACAAGGGCCCACACACAAAATGTCCGCTGGGATGCATGCGCTGATGTGAGAGGACTGGGGCCAGGGGACCAGAATCCTTGCTCCCCTGATGCCGGGCTGGGGGACAGATGGGAGCACATCCCTCCTGCCTTTGAAGTCTGATTTCTCAGGAACCAGAGGAGCCAAGTGGAAGGGGGAATAGTGAGGGCCAGGGAAGGCAGTTGTGGGACAGAGCTGGGGTGCAGCCTGTAGAAAAACTCCCCAAACAACCTTCCTTTCACGTCTGCCCCTCCTTTTCAAGAGAGGCAGGTGCTTGGAGCAGCTCATAGGGGCCCACTAACGGCAACAAGATGCTCCCATAGCAACACAAAACTTTCTCCCTGGCCCTTCTAAGTCTCTGTGAGGTTTCTGAGAAGCCACCCGCAAACATCCCTGGGGTCAAACTGCTGTCTGCCCTCTCCTCGCCTCCCTGCTGCTCCAAACATGCGGAAGGACAAGAGGGGAGAAGAGGCTGTGCTGGCACAAAGACTTGTCCTGGGGTCATGGAAAGATTATACCAGCACTGAGCGTCGCCTCTGCAAGTTTGAACTGGGACGTATTTACCGGGGAGAAGACTTCCAGCGTGAGCCCAGGAACGCTGGCGTGGGTGGGGAGGAACCAAGAGATGTGTTTCAGAAGGCTGGCTCTCAACCCAGCTATATTTATACATAGATAAATTGGTGTCCAAGCCACTGAAAGACCCCAGAATGCCACCCCCCCACACACATTTTAATTCCTTTACAGCCAGAAAAAAGCTGGGCTGTGGGTCTGGGGGTGGGGAGAGCAGTGTGTGTGTGTGTGTGTGTGTGTGTGTGTGTGTGTGTGTGTATGTGCGTGTGTGTGTGTGGTCTGTGATGTGTGTAGAAGAGGACATGGGTAGACCATAGCATCTCAAGCCAGGCATTCCGGGATTCCTGGCAGTGTGGTTACATGTAGCAAATAAAAATGCAATGCTCCCAGTTAAATTTAAATTTCAGATAAGCCATACATATTTTTTTTTTAGCACAAATCTCTCCTGTGTAATATTTGGAACAGTTTACACTAACATGTTTCCAGTTGTTTATCTGAGTTTGGATTTCACCGGGTGCCCTGTATTGGATCTGCTAGCCCTACCTGGCCAAAGCAGGATGGAGGCTGTGTCTGTCACCTGGCTCAGAGAAAGGTGCAAGAGGTGAGGAAACCTGAGAGAGTCCTTCCTCCTCACTGGGGACCTGGCCTGAGCTTCAGGGAGGGTGCAGGTGACCTCCGCAGGTGCTTTTACTATAGGACTACACAGCTTTCCTGGCGTGGCTGAGAACGTGTCCTTCCACGGAGGGCGTCTTCCCTCCAGGGCTTCCATCCCATGGGCTCCAGCGCCAGCTCAGATGCCAAAGTGACCCCTGCTTTGATGCTTTGATGTTTACTTGTGGCTAGGGAGCAGCCAAGGAGCCCAAGTCCCTGGACACTTTCTAACCACCACCTCCAAGTGGCAGGAATCCCAGCCTGAGGCCGATCTCCACCTTCCCCCACTCCTTTCTCTCCAAGCTGAGTTTGAGAAGGAAATTCCCCAAAGGCTTACTGAGGGCGCCCCCGCATCCCTGCTTTTCCAAATTACACTGCGCAGAACTTCGTTTATCTATTTTTCTTCTGAATATAAAGCCTCGTATTGCTCGGAGTTGTAAAGCAAGACGTGCTCGGTGCATGCAAAAATCATTAAGAGACAAAACACCTGTCACCCAACTCCATCCTCAAAACACAAGAGCGCCAAGCGTTTCCTTCCACGTCGCTGCTCGCGTCCGAGCGCACAAGTGCCTTGCTTGCGCCCACCCGTGCCTTGCTTGCGCCTGTCCCTGTGGCCAGCGCACCCCTGGCCCGTGCTTCCCCGCGCGCCACCGCCCGGTGCGCAGCTCCCCACGAGCGCTCCGGGCCGGCGCAGACGCCTTCGCGTGGGGCGCCCTCCCGCGCGCCCTGGGGACGTCAGGGGCTGCAGCCTCCGGGAGGTTTGTACCCGAGGCACGAGGAAGGCGCTCTGGCTGGAGGGGAGGGAGGGGGCGGTCCCTGACACTACTTACGAGGTTTGGAGAAGAAGGAAAGAAAGAACCAGAACCGTGAGGAACAGACGGGAAGAGCGGGAGGACGCGGGGGCCCGGGCCCACTTACCCGACCTGAGCAGCACCGCCCGGTAGAGCCCGGTAGCCTCGGCGGGCCTCTGCGCCATGCCCCGCGCTCCAGACTGCGAGGCGGGCACCGCGGGATGGGATGCGAGCGCGCGGGAGGGAGCGCAGTCCCCACCCGAGGCCTCCGGAGCGTGACGCCACTCGGCTGCCCAAACGCGCCCGGGATCTGGTTACGGACGCGGCCGAGGGGCGGGCGGGAGACGCCGCCCTGGCGGGAGGGGTCGGGCCCTGGCCCGGGATCCGGGCCCAGGGAGCGCGCCGGGCGCAGGTGAGCGAGGGAGGGAAGGCGCGGTCCGCCCGGCCTTGGGAGGGAACAGGTGCCCTGACCTCCGCCCGCCCGGCTGCCTCCTCGCCTGCTTTTCCGTTGTCTTTGGCCGCAGTCCTCCTTGGATGGTGCAAGCTGATTTGGGACCCTGAAGCCCCTGCCCAGTCCTCCAGTTACCAGCTGTGTGGCAGGAATTTAGCAACCTCTGCTGGCAGAAGCTGAGTTTCCCCATCTGTGAAATGGGTTGTGAGGTTACCTGGCTCAGCGTGTGTGTATTTTAAGCACTCACAACAGAAGGGACAGACACTGTACTGGTACTTTTAACAAAATGTCCCAAAGCCTCTGTGGCAGGTGGCAGTGAGGGGTCGGGGGTGTGACTGAGGGGGCGGCTGGAGGGTTCCTTGAGACTGATTCCTTTGACTCTGCCAGTGCTGTGAGGGCCTGGGCTGGGAGGACCAACTGAAGGGGGAGGGGCAGTGTCAAGCGGGCAGTCTGGGGAAGTAAGAGGCTGGCAGTCCTGATAAGCTACTTTGTCTGGTGCTATGCTGTTTCTTATATAGCAAAAAAGAATTTGCTTCTGGTCCTGTTTCTTTTCATCTGTAAAGCTCTTGAAGTCACTCCTACTAACATTCCAGTTTCACAGAGGAGAGGCAACTGAGGCCCAGAGAGGTCAGCAACTTCTCTAAAGTCACACAGTGTGGAGCCGTGTGGTCTAACCTCAGAGTCTGGACTCTTGGCTCCACTGCTGGTCATCTCCTTTACCTTCAGCACAGTGCTGGAAAGGTCACCTCCAGCTTAGACAGCTGAGACTCTGAGAGGTGGGGTGGCTTGCCCATGAGTGTAAGCCAGGGCCCAGACCAGCTCTCAGTCCCGGAAACTTGTGCTCCTGAAGACTGTCACCCTCCACGCTTTGCCCCGTGGAGCTATGCAGGGCCCTGGGTGGCCTCTGTTCAGAGGTGTCCAGGGCAGGCCAAAGACTCCTACACTGAGGCCCCACACCGCCACCTTCCTCTGCCTCTGTGTCCGCTCTGCATCCCTGGTTGTCCGCCAGCCAGCCCTGGCTTGTCTTGGGCCATTGTTGAGGCCCAGAGGTCCTCGTGCTTTCTTGCTTCTCAGACACCATCCAAGGCCCAGGGGTCCATCTGACACACGCCAGACATCATCTGGGGTCAGTCATCAGGGTCCTCACGGAGCAGACCCATCACCCCCCTCTTCAGCCTCCAGCCTAGGAGTTCCAGGCGGTGTCCACACACCTGGGGTTCCTCATCTTACAGCCTCTTTCACAGCAAGGAATGGCACCCAATTTTCTGCTCATCCCATTTAATCTGCTGGTGGCTCTTTGCCCCTGCTCTGGCTGTACCCCTGTTGGAGATGAGAGCAGAGTTCCTGGGACTTGTCCACACTCAGTAGACCCTTAGCAGTGGGACTGGAATTTGAACCCAGGTGGTGCCAAAACTTGGTGCAGGGGAAGTCAAACCTGTTGTTGATTAAAGCGGGGCTCAGGAGGATTGGGGTGCAGGGATGTGCTTTTGTGGAGTGCAGGGCTGCCTCTGCCCAGGCCTAAGGGAGCACTAGGAGGGTCTGACTTACCTAAGCTGTTTAGTCTTTGCTTTTCATTTTCACTATGAATTCTGGCCTGAGGAGAGTATTCTTTCTGTGGAAGAAAGCAATGCTTATGTGGAGGGGGTGCCATCCCAGGGGAGGGGGCTGGCAGAAGGGCATTAGGTAGATATTCATCCATTCCCGAGCCTCAGCAAGGAATAGCTGGGACAAGGAGGGGAGGGAGCTTATCCAGAGAAACAGGTCTCTGCAGTCCTTGGAGTGTGTGTGTGTGTGTGTGTGTGTGTGTGTGTGTGTGTGTGTGTATACATTTATGTGACTCATGCTCTTTTCTTTTTTAAAGACTTTTTATTTAGAATTGTCTTAGATTTAGAGGAAAATTAAGCAGATCATATGACAGTTCCTTGTAATCCACACTTAGTTTTTTATGAACATCTTATATGAACATAGATGTACATGCGTCTAGTATGGTACATTTTTATAATTAATGAATCAATGTTGATGTATTTTACTAACTGAGGTCCAGCCTGGATTCAGATTTTCTTAGTTTTTTACCTAATGTCTTCTTTTCCTGTTCCAGAACCCCATTCAGAACACCACATGTTATGGTTTGTGTCTAGTTTTCCCCCCAGAGCCTCACACAGTCATGCAGACAGGCTTCTAGAGTTTGTGACTGATTCACGGTGCAATGCTGGGATTATATGTGTAGGTGCTACACCTGCCCTGGGCCGGTAACCTGCATACAAAATAAAGGAGGGAAGAGCCTAATTCTCCTGCTTTGTTTTTGCTCTTGCTGTCTTCTGGCCACCATAAAGTGTTGCCCTTTGCCATGTGCCACCTGCCTTGGAGCCAGCCACGTATGGACTGAAACCTCCACAAACTGAGCTAAATAAACCTTTCTTTCCTTCATTTTAGTTGTTGAGTGTTTTGTCTCAGCAAGAGAAAAGTGACCAACTCACCATATTACACTGAGTTGTCCTGTCCCTTGAGGCTCCCCTTGGCCGTGCTAAGTTCCTAGACTTTCCAGATTTCTGATGACCTCATGGTTATAAAGGGTACCAAATCCATATTCTTTCTGTTGAGCTTCTGCCCAGAGGAGAGTATGCAGTTCCACAGAGAAGCCAGGGCCACAATCAGTGGAGGCCACTCCTGCAGCCTGCCCTGGGACTACTGGGGAGGGCAGAAGGGTCTGGGGTCCTGTGCTTTCCTCCACGGACTCCCTTTCTGTGCTTTGCCACATGGAGTGCATGAAAGAAGCAGAGTATTTGGGTGCTGGCCAAGCTTTTCTCATCTTTTTAAACTCAAGAATACAACGGATAAGTAATCTCATCTACAGAAGAAAATTCCAGCACATAGAAACCGATCTACTCCAGAGGGTCCAAAGGAGACACAAGCTCCCTCCACAGACGTGGGAAGCAGGGTTGGGTCCCAAAGGTAACATTCGCATTACGAAGCCAGCAGTTCCTAAGGTGCAGCTCCCTTGCACAGGAGCCAGTCCCTGTGCGTGAAGGACTTGTTGAAAAACAGGTCCTGGTAGCTATTAGTTCAGTTCTGACCCTGGTTAGTGAAAGCTAGCACAGGTTTCCAGAGGCAGTGCCCTTATACAGAGCACAAAATATCCAAGTCCATTTTGGCTGAAGCGAAGGCATTTCTCCTGTCCCTCCTGATGCTGCCCTGGACTGGTTTTCATGCCCTGATTCTTGAGAAAAGTCTTTTGGGATCAGTCATCGGAGACACCAGTGATCCTTTCTGCAAGGTCTCAACTTTTCTCCTTTGCTCACTGTGTCCCCGAGAAGCTGATGCCTCACTTTGGAAAGTGTCGTGGAGACCAGTATCCCAACACACAAAATAGCATTTGGGGAAGCTTGCTTTGTTTGTTTTTAAATATTTTAAAAGTTGAGGTATAGCACGCCACCCCACAGCATACTAACCTTCCATGCTCAGTTTTTATGCAGCGTTCCACCTCCGTAACCACTGCCAAGTCAGCTATGAAGCCTTCCCTGATGCTTGCTCCTCTTCCCAGTGAAAACCTGTGTTCTTCTTCCAGCAAACCCCAGAGTAAGCACTTTCCTGGCTTCTGGCCCATGGAATTGATTTTCTTCCTCCAGAAATTCACATAGATGGGATCTAGGAACTTACTCTTTGGGGTCCGGCTTCTTTTACTGGGCAGTATATCTGAAAGTCATCAATGTCCTCCTGTCTCATAATTTATTCCTTTTTGCTGCTGACTGATTTCCCTGTTTGAGACTATCTCACAGGCCAGTGACACCTTCTGCTATGAATGGACATCCAGGTTCTGGCTGTTGTTAATCAAGCTTCTCCAAACATGCATCCTCTTGTGGACTTTTGGGTGAACACGAGCTCTTGGTTCTGTTGGGCAGACCCCTGGCAGTTGAACTTCTGGGCTGTAGGGCAGGTAACTGTCTAGGTATAGAAAACCCTGCCAATGGTGATTGTATCTATTTTTATGTTATGTTTTTGATGTCTTCACTATTTAGATTTTTTTCATACACAGTGCTTTGGATTAGCAGTGAGAGTGAGGAGCTGGCAAATTACATCTTAGTAAAGCACAGGTGCCTGAATTCTAAACTTTGGAGAGGTGAAGGACCTCAGGGTATTGTCTTTGAAATCTGGAGTGAATGAGAGGGATTCCAGCAGACCACAAACAGAGAACAGAGCCTTGTTCAGTGCTGTATCTTCTGTGCCTTTGCCCAACTCTCGGTACAGAGGGGCTCAGCAAATAAATATTAACCTACAAATCATAGCAAAGAGTTCCTGAGTGTATGCTAGCGCGAAGCACTGTGAAAAGACCCTGCTGGTGTGGACCCATATAAGCCTCATGATAGAACTTTGAGATTAGGAACAAGCAAGCCTTCTGCTTTTCATAATCCAGGAAGGAAGCTGAAGTCTTGAACAGGTCGGGATGCAGAGTCTACAAGTGGTAACTCTAGGAGTAGATAGATGCAAAGCAGTCTGACTCCGGAGGCTGTGTGTGTGTGTGTGTGTGTGTGTGTGTGTGTGTGTATTGACAGCTCATTTTATAGAAGAGGAAACTGAGGTTTAGAAAGTTCAGGAACCCTTCTCCATGGGGTAATGCTGGGCCAGCTTTCCCAACAAGTTAATTCTTAAAGGTTGAATAATTTTTTTGGTGGGGGAAGCCAGGTCCTGCCTGCTGTCTTCCCAAACCCCACAGAAAGCCCACCCAAGCTTCTACCTCCACATCTTCCACAAAGCCATCCTGTCGCGTGAGGTGACACCTGCCCTCCTCACCTCCATCCCTAGGGACAGAGGATCAAACCCAGCAATCCTGCCTTTAGAGTGC